ATTGAATTTAATTCGTGATGCTTTTTAGTGATCAATAGTTGTCAAAAGTTTGATTTAATAAGAAAATATTTGATATTTTTACGTTGTGTATGTTCAAAAAATGAGGTGAATTTTTATTCTTGTCAAAAAATATTTATTTACTCATCAATTTCTAGTTTGTCCACTTCAAAGTTATCCCATTCAGATATAATAAACTTGTGTTTTTCGAGCTCTCTAAGCGATTTGGTTTTTATCTCCCAATTGTCACAAAACACCGTACCTACTTCAGGATAATAGTCCTTATTGCCTGTACGATGTGGCAAGAACTCCTGGTGCATTACGCCACGGTAATCGACGAAAATAGTGAGCGAAACCTTGACATTCGATCGAACTTGACGTGCTTTTTTTGGTCTTGAATCTCCTGGGCTCTTCCACTGGGGCAATTAAACTTTGGTTTTGATGTCTTAACCGTGTAACTATGATTCATCACCCTTTTATCCAAAACTGGATCGCCGTTGACCTCATTCAACAACAATATCGGAAATTTTGGTACGAACTTCGCTGCCAATCGATATGCCTACATCCTCAGCAACTCTTGAATAGTCATTCAACGATTTTTCATTACAATTTTATCGGTTGTTGTGCTGACGCGTCCAGGGCGAGCATGGTCATTAACATCTTCTCGACCTTCTGTGAAAAGCTTGTTGTTAACATTATTCTGACACAGAGTATAGTCAACGTATGCCGCTGTTAACATTTCAAGTGTTTTTGCAGACTCAACTCAATTTTTTACACAAAATTTGATGCAAATTCTATTACCCATGTTTTTCGATAGCAGAAAATCGCCAAACACGCAAAACACTTCTAACTTTTATACCTATCACCAACAAACCCAACATGCTAAACAGCTGAAACTGTGAACATACAGGGTGTAATATAAGTACGTCAAAATATTCAAGTGACGTATTCCCGAGACAATTTTAATAAAAAAAGTCCATATGAGCTTGTGTCCGAAAATGCTTCGTTTCGGATATACAGGGTGTTGAGGTTGAATTTTTTTGTTCGCTTTTTGAAAATAACTCTGGCAAAAAATGAGTTATTTCGTACTAATTTTAATATAACATCTAGAGGGCACTGCGTACGCTGTCATTATTTATTTCGAATTACTCTAACTTTTTTGACAGCAAACTTTTGGTACTTTTCATGAGAAAACATAATTCCCACACCCTTTGCAAGTAAAAAAGGTACACCCTCTCAACAAAGCTGGAGGTGATCGTTTTCTAGATATTTACAATTTTCTATATCGATGCATATTACTTAGCTCCTAGGGCGCTAAGTGAAGTTGCTGAGAACATTACAAAAGTATGTGGTGGATCTCGTCAAAATAAACAACTTTTTCCTATAAAATGAGAATGATTCGTTTTCGAAATACAGATTGTTGAAATTTTTCAAAACATGGTAGGTTTTTGTCTTAATTTTTTTGCAATTTTAGTTATTTTCATCAAACTTCATACGCAGTATACCCGTACAGACTTCTTCTAAACTGAGCATTATCGAACTGTTTATTCAATCCAAATTGAAAAAAATTGTCAGGTTCAATTATTCAATTAGAAAGTGCTACATTTCGGAGTTTGTAAAAAAAACAATTCGGTGAAGTAGGTAGTATGTTATTTATAAAATAAACATATAAAAATTGAACGAAACAACTATTACAACAACTGTTCAAAATGACGACCCCCAACAGTAATACAATTTTCTGCTCTCCTCATCGAAGAATTCCGCACCCGTTGAAAAATGCCCGGAGTGTTTCTTATCGTTTCGCAGCAAGCTATGAAGCGATCCCTCAACATTTCCTCGTTTTCAATGGGGCTAGCATAAACTAGTGATTTAAGGTGTCCCCAAAAGAAAAAATCGACGGGATTGAAGTCCGGTGACCTCGGGGGCCAATGATCAGTGCCTCCTCTTCCTATCCATCGTTGGGGATATGCTACGTCTAAAAAATTTCTTGCTGTCACACTGAAATGAGCAGGAGCTCCATCGTGCATAAACCAAGAGTGATTTCGGAAACCAATGGGAACATCTTCCATAAGTTGGGGAAGCTCGTGTTCCAAAAAATGTAGACAAGGATCTCCATTCAAACGTAAGGGGACGAAATAGGGCCCAATTAAATGATTAAATTAGCCGCCTTTTTATGATTTTTTCAATAATTTTGGATAAGGTCGGAACAAGTGATATCGGTCTGTAGTTTATTGGATCATCCCTGGCACCACCTTTGAAGAGCGGAATCACTACAGAAGATTTTAAAAGTTCAGGAAATGAGCCATTCACAAAGGAATCCTTTATCAATGAGACAAGAACGTTCAAAACACAATCTGGCAGTGTCTGAAAGATTTTGACAGACATTTCATCAATACCTGATGTTCTTTTAGTTCTAATTTCTCGAATAACCTAAAACATAAAAATGTAACAGCGAACTTCTATAAAACGAACTTCTTATAAACAAACTTTCATAGCCCGCTCGATTTAATTAACTTCATTTGCAAGCGGAGAGTGACAAAAATTATTGAAATCAAATTTGGCTATAAAGTAATATGCATCGATATAGAAAATTGTAAATTTTTCGAAAACGATCACCTCCAGCTTTGTTGAGGAGGTGTACCTTTTTTACTTGGAAAAGGTGTGGAAATTAGGTTTTTTCATGAAAAGTACCAAAAGTTTACTGTCAAAAAAGTTAGGGCAATTTGAAATAAATAATGACAGCGTACGCAGCGCCCCCTAGATGTTACATGAAAATTAATACGAAACTATGATTTCCTACGTCAATAAAAACCCGGGTTTCCGTGCAAATAACTTATTTTTTGCAAGAGTTATTTTCAAAAAGCGAACAAAAAAATTCTATTTCAACACCCCGTATTTTCGAAACGAAGCATTTTCGGACACAAGTTCACATAGACTTTTTTTTCTTAAAATTGTCTCAGGAATACGTCACTTGAATATTTTAACGTACTCATGTTACACCCTGTATGTCCGAGAAGAGTGTACCAACATAAAAAAATTAAAAATCGCTAATCGATGTACGAAATTTGAACATTCATCTTATTTTTTAAACAGTCCATATATATTCCAGTTTGAACCTAAGTAATTGTTTATGAACCCTTTCATTATGGTATGAGCATTATACTTTAGTTAAAAATATAATGAAAAACTAGAGTAGGCATAATTTATCATGTCTACACCGGTTTCTATGAATTTTCCAATTTGGTAAAACCATGAAAAGATCCATTGTGTTTATCACCTCTCACTTGAACAATAACAAACTCCCTAATCTCCTAGATCATTCCCTAATCCATCACCTGTTCCTTTAATCCATCAGCGAGAGCCATGGGAGGTCGGATATATAAATATGGCACTAATTCATGATACATCGCTTCTATTATCCAGCCTGTGTCTAGCTGGTCGCTTGGGGTCCCTCATAAATTTCCTGGTTATTCTTGCCTGTCGTCCACCATACGCGTTCAGAAGGGGAGAAAAGTTCATTGAAAAAACATCGAGTTTCAGATAAATCAGCGCTTATGATCAGTAGATATGACATGCTTCCGCAGAGTTGAAATAAGTTCGTTTGCTGTAAGGTACAGCCATGCTTAGGTATAATTTTGTTCTTTTTAAATATACAATGTTAAATAAAAACAGTTCCTTAATATTCATTTGAGTTTTTGTTCACAACTTTTATAATAAAAATAATATTTTTACTCGAAACCCTGTGTCCAATTTGAAACTGCAAAGATTCGACAATGTTGCGTAAATGGCAAAAAAATTACCTTTGAAGAGCTCAAATTTCCGTCAAGATGTTATGCTAGAAAATAATATAGCTTGAGCTGCATGTATACAAATGAATGAATGGATGTCTATAGGAATCCTAATGAATTCTGGTATTTTGTTTCACTCCGAGAAACATCTTGGTTAATAGTGTTTCACTATCAGTTTGAGTAAATGAATTTAACTGGTTTTTCAAAAGAAACATATTATGTTTTACATCTTTCAAGTATTTTTCTAAATTGATATAATTACTTATTCAACTTTCTGCTTCCACAAAACGATGCAGACTCTTGAGAAAGCTGGAGAAGGAAATTATGAATGTGTATGTTTTAACGTGACTTCGGAAAGCAGAAATTATAGTGAAGTTTCTGAAAAAAACTTGGGATTTGACGGTAGGTCCGGGTAGGGAAAAACTTGGAACTATTGAAATCACGAAGTAGTAAGTTGACCTCACGTGAAAACCGTAGAATGAAAGATCGGCTACCATGATTCGTTTCACCTTAGGCCAAGGGTCCATTAAACTAAAGACTGAACTAGGTCATAAAAGTCTCATACCAAGTAATCTCTAGGGAATGAAATCGTTTCTCTGCTTGGACTACCCTTCCTACATGCCTTCAACTTAGCTTTTAATCGCATAGATAACGCGGCCCAACGAGGATTGTACTCATCTTCTTCTGGTACTCCTACGGCATGACCACTCAAAGAGTGTTGCTTTCCACTCCTTCAGACAGTGAGAAAGTGAAGTGCCTAATTTATTGGAACTACCTAAGTACTCATTTCTCACCCAGAGACTACATTCGGCATGAAGTTTTGAACTCTAGTTGTGGATGACTAACTGAAGAAAAATGGATGTAAATCAAGATTTTATCTTCAACTTCTTGAGCTTGACCAAACAAACAGTGGGACGTTTTATGATTTAAAAAGATTTCATCAAAAATAATTAATAACAGACCTAATTGAAGATATAAATGATATCGATACAGAATTCTCAAACTATTTCATAAACACAATCAATCACTCATTCCAGGAGTATGCAGCAGTTCTTGTGGTAATTTATACCCACCTTCATTACCGTTGGAGCGATCCGGGAAAGGGTTTATTTGGTGAACCTTATTTGTGATAGGAAAAATAGTAATGAAAATACTTACCCACTAACCTGATTGTTAGTAAAGATTGTTTTTCCACCTTTTATATTTGATTTTCAGTGCGATGAAACCATGTCCACCGGCGATATTTGTGTGTTCGCAAGCCGCGCCGGTCCCAACATGTGCTGGCACCCTGCTTGCTTCTCGTGCACTGTTTGTAGGGAGCTGCTTGTCGACCTCATCTATTTCTTCAAAGAAGGAAGATTGTATTGCGGACGACACCATGCGGAAACGATCAAGCCGAGATGTTCAGCCTGCGATGAGGTATTTCATTCATTGTCAAATTATTTTCAAAGATAATTTAGTAAATGGTCATTGTCGAATTGTTTTCAAAGATTATTTAGTAAATGGGTTTTTTTTATATTTTCAAGATATAATTAAATCATAGTTTGGGGAGTTCTTCTAAGAGGCTAACCACCTGTTGTGATCATCATTAATTATTCAAAGTTCAAATTAATTTTAAGTTTCCATACTTCCATATATATGTACTTACCATGTATTCGGTGAATATATGAACTTTGCTAATAATAAATGCTAATAAGCTAAATTAACTTGTTATCTGCCCTTTGAGAGAAATCTTCAGAGTAAATTCAGATAACGAATTCAAATGCAGAATGTAGATTCTTGAATTACTTGTATTCTTGAATACACTTTTTTAGAGAAAGAAAATATACAGTGCATTCCATTTAAAACAAGCCACCCTGAATAACGTTTGGTACATAGTTTTCGAAGCGTATAAACCATTGCTTTTCAAGAATTCACAAAAACAGAAACACCAATTTCAGCTTCACCTGGTAGGTAATCGTTATTGTAGAATGAGACAAATACAAAATGAAGAGAATATCGAATTCAAACTTAACTAGGCAAAATAAGACTTTTTTGAAATCTATGAAACCTAGATAACAGATTGTACAGAAGTTCATTAAGAGTGGCTCGTTTTCAACTCAAATAATTTTTATCTTTCAAACTATGAGCTTCAGACCATAATGTATTCTACTTTGTTGAAATCTGTTCATTATGTAACATCTGATAGGTAGGTAGGTAGGTCTAAAGTGAGTGGGTCTATTCGACCCTCCACCGCAACCCATAAGGGTTTATTGTGGCTCACACCTATTCACACTCGGCCAAATAAACCAGCTTCTTAACGAAGCCGATTAGTTTGTATGGTGAGTGGTCTTTCAGGTCAGATAGTGAGAGTACGGATCTGCCGAACTCAAAGAATCTGATTCGGTCCCCAGCGGGGCAGGCAAACAGTATATGCTCTGCAGTTTCATCATTTTCCAGACAGAGGCGACACACACTGTCTTCCGACAGTCCAAGTCTCTGCATGTGATGATTCAAATGACAGTGACCTGTAAGAAGGCCTGTTAGACATCGTAGTTCATCCATACTGTAGTCTAACAAATGTTTGCAATCAAGTTTCGAAGGGTGAATAAACGCCTTGGAGTAAGCCAATCCTGGAAGATTCTGTCAGAAGTCCATAACTCTTCTTGCCATCCAGGTGTTAATTGTTTGTTTGGCAAAGCCCAAAGCGATGCCAATAACAGGTTCTGGTCCAATGAAGCCGCTTGCAGCACCCTCCTTTGCAAGAGAGTCAGCATTTTCATTGCCTTCCAGGCCAGTATGGCCAGGAATCCAGACCAGAGACAATTTGTTTAGTCTTCCTATCAAGGAGAGTCTTTTTTGGCAGTTTGCTACCAATTTAGACGTTGATCGGTAGGAGCCAAGAGCTTCCAACGCCGCTTGACTGTCCGAGAATATTTTTATTGACTTGTGAGTGAGGTTGGATTTATCCAATCTCTCTGCACACAATTCAATAGCGTGAATTTCCGCTTGAAATACAGTCGCATAGGTTCCTAAGCAGGCAGATAACTCTGTTCTGGGTCTGCGACTGAAAACACCTGCACCAGAACCGGAAGGTGTTTTTGATCCATCTGTGAACCATCAACTATCTGCTCTTAATATTTCCTTCTCCCGCAGGATCCAGTCCTCTCTACTCGGGAATAGTACTTTATAAGGCATCTGATAATGCAAAACAATTGATCCTTTACAATAAATGGTGACATGCTCTGGAAGTGCGATAGGAAAAGTTAGATCAAATGTAAATATGTCAAAATGTGTTCCCCTGTAAACTATTGTTGAGGTGTTTTTTTTATTTTTCCTGAAAATCATTGTTCCAAAAGTTATTCGGGGTGGCTCGTTATCAAATCAAATAATGTATAGCTCTCGAACCATAAGCTTCAGAGCACATGTTTAATACTTTGTTGAAATTTGTTCATCATGGAGCATCTGATAATGTGAAACAATATAGAGTGATCCATTAAAAAATGGTGACTTGCTCTGGGGGTGCGATTGGGGAAGTAACATCAAATGTGAATATGTCAAAATGTGTGCCCCTGTATACTATTGTTGAGGTGTTTTTTTATTTTTTCTGCAAATCATTGTATCAAAAGTTATTCAGGGTGGCTCGTTTTAAATGAAATGCACTGTATATGACGTACATATATTATCGGCGAACCCAAAATGGTAAATTTTTTATTATCGGCACATGTTTGTACCTCAAAAAGTATTTGACAATAAATGTTCAAACTCTCATTACTTACAAAACTTGTTTATAGAAATTTGAAAGGTGTAGAGTATAAATGGGGAACCCCCTCATAATATTTTCAGTCCAACTGTAATTAGGTATTTCTGAAGATTGCAAACTGTTTTTTTTTTGAATGACATGAATTCTTTTTTGTTCAAATTAAAAAAAAACTTATGAAATACACAATCAAACCATGAGAAAATTCAATGTTTGAATTATTTACATGAAAGGCAGTTTGGCTTTCATTGAATGATTATGACAAACACTAAAAAACAAACATTAATAGGTATTTTAGAAATGTAATGTCAAAAATATTTCAGATCATCCTAGCGGATGAATGTACAGAAGCAGAAGGTCGGGCATGGCACATGAAACACTTTGCCTGCTCAGAATGTGAACGACAATTGGGCGGACAAAGATACATAATGAGGGACGGGCGGCCGTACTGCTTGCATTGCTTTGACGCAATGTTTGCCGAATACTGTGATTCCTGCGGAGAGCCAATCGGTGTGGACCAAGGACAAATGTCCCACGAAGGTAGTTATACTATTATTATCATAACTGTTGAAAATATTCTGAAACTCATTCACAGAATAATTTTTGAAAACTCTATAACTTTTGATTTTGAAGGTCAACACTGGCATGCCACAGAAACGTGCTTTTGCTGCCATACTTGCCACACCTCGCTACTGGGCAGGCCATTTCTGCCTAGAAGAGGCGCCATTTATTGTTCCATAGCCTGCAGCAAAGGCGAACCTCCTACACCAAGTGATAGTTCTGGTCCAAATACTAGGGTGCCAAGACAACAGCCAAGGAATCGTGCTCAAAGGCCCCCATCTCCTAATGAAAGTAGTACTCCTCCACCTCTATCACCTTCTACAAAGAGACATCTGCCTCCCATGTCACCCTCAGCATCCCCCTCATCGCCAACTGGACAGTATATTACAAGGTGAGTTAAAAAACTACGGAAGTGTTTCACAATTTTTTCATAATATAATTAAAGAAGCTTATCAGAAACACTTTCATGTGACATTTTCAGATAGATATTCTATAAACCTCTATTTTCTTATACCTACAATAGCTTCTTCAAACTTGACTAACACTGGACCTAGACGTACATGTCTCATAATTAAGTATTTCAACAGGATTACTCATTACTTTGTTTTGTTTTTTTTGACAGTCAAGATTTGTCAATAATTATAAGTAAGCGTAGAGGTCTTCCCTTAAGAAGATACCATCTATAGGATCGAGCGAAAACTCAAACCTTACTTATCCACAGCGATTTGTTTGTAGTCAAGCTTTGACACCACTAAACGGGAAATCGCCTCCTGTCTTTCTCTTCTGCTTTCCCTGGGAGACAACGCCAATAATTGTGATATGAGTATAAAGAATGCTTACAAAACAGAGATAGAACTAAATGTGAATTCATCTGCTTTAGGCCTAGTGAGAGATTCAGTAATTACTCTAAAGGATAGATATCCGATAAAGAATGCTTACAACAAAAATTAATTAGTGACACGACTTTTTTGTCGTGATCATCTTCAAAGAGGAAGATTAAAACTCTTCTTCTCTGAAGATGATCACTTGGTGATCGAAACACGTGTCGAGGTGTTAAAAATAACGATTTGGTGTTGGGAAGATTAAACAAAAACTTGTCAAACCTATATTTTTCATTGAATAAATTGCAGATCTCCAACCGGTACCAGATCTCCAAAAATGGGAAGAAGGGCATTACAAAGATCTCCAAAGCCATGTTCTATCCCCAGCACACCTACTCTTTCAGACAACGGAACCTCCACTTCGCAGAATGAACCGAACAACGAGGAAACTATTACCAGAGGATTGCCATCTGCTTCCCCTAGTTGCAGAGGTCTGGATCGGGTTCTTCTGGAACGAAATCTGGAACGTTTGCTAACGGAAAGAAGCAGTAGTCAAGGCCATTCTCCTGATCTAGAAAAACTATTATCTGCCAGGGACCGGAGCAGAGAGCCGTTACATCTTGCAGACCTGAGTCTAGATGACTGGCCGACTAAATCTGGATCTGATTACAATCAGGAGTCTGACAGTAAGCAGGACAACAGAGTAGAGGAGAAAGAGTCAAATACCAGCAGCACAGAGCAAGCTCCGCATCATGCTTCATCGATGCCAGAGTTGGCAATACCTGGATCTAGTGACAGCACTGGTAATTATTATAAAGTTTACTTCTTGCAAGATGTTTTGTAAATATTTTGTAGAAAAATGATGTATTTATTATATTTATCAGGTAACTCAACAACTCCTGGTTCACCTAACAAAAAAGGAAGAGGTTTACTCAGCGTTAGATTCAAGGGTGACAACGAGGCTTTTGAAGCAGATGAGAATGATAACGCTAGTGTTGAAGCTTCAAGAAGGTTTCCCAGAAGTAGAAGTTACTCTGGCAGATCTAAACATATTGACACACTAGAGAGAAAAAGCAAACCTAAGAAAACCACTTCAGACTCTCATATGCAAGGTAAGATTCATTTTCAGTGTACATCTCTCAAAGCAGTACGATAGATTTTCAAGGTCACGTGGAAGTGGTATATTGTGTGAAAATTCATACAATTTGAGTTGACTTGACACCTAAAGAAAAATAAAACTGATTGGAAGGGTTGCATGAGTGTGAATTTTTTTTTCTTAGAAGCATCTAGAAAAGCAGAAACTTCATATTGAACTTTTGATATCTGAGTTGGTGTAATTTCATTCAGAAATCTGGTTTGGTCGATTTTTCCATCCTGAAGGCCTTCCTCAGGGAGTAATTTATGGGGTTTTTATAGCTTATTGATTATATAATTATCTAGTATTTATTCCATTCCAACAGCGAGAAAAAATCCAATATAACAACTACTTTCAATTATGACAATTGAATCACATGGAAATCACTTTTTCTTATAGAGTTCATAAACCAACTGTAATGGTATTTATACTATATGCAATATGAAATAGATAATATATAAAAGGGTATCAATATAAAATTTCGCTTCACAGAACCTACAGAAGTTCGAATTAAAACACTAGTCTTCAACTCCTAATCAGCACCTTTTGGATATATTTGTGACAATTCACTCAGTCCTTTCAAAAATGTTTTGGCTTAGAATATTATTTGAAGCCACAGAAAGTTCTTCGTTGGAAAAAGAATGTTTTGGCTTCATAGAAAGTTCTAAATGTGATATTGAAAATTACAAAACGTCTGATATTAAGCACAACCTGGAGGACTAAATAATGTTTCCAAACAATCTATAAATCGTAAGTTCAGTAACAGTGAAATTGAAGAAGAGAAAGTGTATCTAAAACAAGAACTTCTCTCGATCACCAGAAATGCAATACTATTCCGGACGCATGTTTCTTCTCAATACGTCAACTTGGTAGGTGTGTGAGAAGAGTATTGCATTTCTAGTGATTGGGAAAAGTGCTTGTCTTAGATTTATTTTGAGCCCGAGATGCCAGATAAAGAGAAAACCAATTACAGAGATTGAGTATATATCAAATGAAATACGAAACTATATTTCACTAACAACATGGGGAGACAAGCTGACTCTAGATGAATTCATATTATTTCTCCTAGTAATCAACAAGTTCTCTGATCTCTTGAATGAAAAAATTTCTCGTAACATTTCAAATAAAATCTTTACAAAGTTGTGTAGATCATGCAACAGATTAATTTTCAGACACAAACTGGAGGAGAAAGCCATCCTGCAACAACTACTTTCATATGAACATTACGATCTATTGATTCAAAATGATTTTTTTCTTCAACTTTTTTTCTCAACTTTCACAAAATAAACAGCTCTATTTCATTTTCAGGTCCTAGTTCACGGCATAAAAACAGAGACGATGACGACGACGACGCTGAAAGCTACTGCTCCACTTGTTCCTCCAGTTCTTCAAGTGACGATTTGGACTACCAGTTACCACCGAGAAGGGCATATGGTGGCGTGAGAATCTCCTACGTTCCTAACGACGCGCTTGCCATTGCAAGAAGAAGACAAGCAACTATCCAAAAATCGCCAAGCAAAAAAGGAATGCCTATGGACGATAAAGACAAGAACTGTGTCATATCGTGATTACTGGCCAGAATAAATATTTGTTGCCTTCCAAAATATAAACGATTTGCCAAATAGTAAATGTACTGCAATATATTCAGGGTATCGTGTTGTTTAATGGATCGATTTGCCTTGACATTCACTAGAGCCGTGTGTGTGTGTTAACTTTGAAAGAGAAAATAATATTTTTCCTCAAATTGTATAATTATTAACTACGTGACATTTTTTTAACCTATGATCAATATTTTCATGTATCTGCTTGCTATCAGACAGCAAAAATTTTAATTTCTGTGATGTAAGAAAATATTAATCTTCTACTTCATTGTGTTCAGATATTTCATTTAAAATAAATTTAATAGGAATAAAAAATTTATACTTTTTATTATACAAGATTTTGTTTGTGTATTGTTTAAACAATTAGATAAACAAACTCTTAGGAAAAACTGTATTATAAGTTCCTTCAAGTAATTTTTGATTCATGATTATGATGTTAGGAAAAAACCAATATGAGTATCTTCTTCATAATTATGGATACAATAATATAACATGATTATCCCGTTGTCTTGCCTCTGAGTGTTTAATAAACTATTCATTTCTCTCAAGTGCATATAACGTGCATAACTGATTTCATAATGATCAGTATGTTTACTGATATATTCAACAAGATGTAAATAATTTTATGGATGGATTTGAATCTTTGAATAGGTATCAAAGAAAATTTTTCTTCCTTATATAAGTGAGTATAGACAGCATGAAATAAGGTAGTAATGAAAAAAAAAACTAAAAGAACCTCTGGCACATAATGAAATCAATACTGCACTATTCTCACATACCAGAATTGCAACAATTTTTTTAAAAGAAGTATTATTTTTATATCGTATTCGGCAATATCTAGCAATTTATGAGTTGAGATTCCATATTTATGAAATTCATGGGCTATTTGACTACCCTAAAATGGAAGCCTGAATATTGAAATTCATTATCATCCAATGATGAAGGTAGATGGGAAAGTATTTTTAATCTACACTTGATGAATAATTATTAATTAATTGGTGAAACGACACTACCATATTGTCTTTTTAAATTCTTAACTATCACTATAGTTCAGAATATATATTTCCTTGAAAAGTGAATCGAAACTATCTTCATCATCATAAATCATCTTTCCAATAGGATCGAAGTTGTTCTGATAAAATCTAATACTGGGCTTGATAAGTAGAATTTGAAACCTCTGGCTTGAAAACCGTTTTCCCACACAAAAACAAAAATACTGTCTCACGACGCATGTTTTGTTAACCAAGTTAACATCAGCAGGAGGTCACCAAGTCTCCTGATACTTTTCAGAAATGTAATTGATATAATGCCTATAATAATTTCACTTATATCGATGAAGACATACTTATGAACTCATTTCTCTCAATATATGATTATTGGACGTATCAGAAGGCCATTTAAAGGTTTAATTTTCAGAAACTGACAACTTTAGAAAAATGTTTCTACTGCAAATCAAAGGGACATTATCTATTACATTTTCAAGAAGCAGTTTGATTCCAGGTTATCTATATTATTGGAGTTGAACTTTTGCCATTCAATTGTATAACATGTTCAGTATGTGTCCGTTAAATCTGATTCATAAGTGCATACAATTTAAAGCACTGCAAATTAAGTATTTCAATAATGATCGTTTCAAAGCATAATTTGCAGATTGGGTAAATGTACGCCTGTATGCATTGGGTCTTATATAAAATTGATTAATGAACCTCATATCGTAATTGATATAACTTACACATAGACAAAAATGTTTATTATGTCAAATATTATTTTATTTCTAATGTCTTATTAGGTGAAAGTAATTTTTCTTTATTGGAACTTTAAAGTTGGAAAAGTCCATGAATCATGTATTGATTGTTCATAAACTTAATTGAAAACAAACCTCTTTTGACATTGAATTGACTCCACACAGCTCTAGATACATTATGCTTTAAAAACTAAGTTATAACACAACAACATAGAAAAAAATGTAATTCTTAAGAGTCAACACCACCTATTTTTTTCTTTTTTGTTTTCTTTTTTGCAACTTCTGTTCTTTCTTCTTTGTTTTCCTTACTCCTACTTTTATGGACCTTCTTCTGTTGAACTGATATAATCTCATCATCTTCGTCTAACTTCTGGCTAGTTTTTCTTTTTTTTGTTTTACCTTCAGTGACCACTTCCATCTGTTCAAAAATCTCTTCAAACTCTTCATCAACTTTCTCTGTTATATCCGTAGGTTCCTCTTTAACAATAGGTTTGCCAATCCAGCAACCAGGAAAATGATCANAGTCAAAAATATTTCCACTAAAATTGGTGAAGAACACAAATTAGAATCCAAGAACCAAGTTCAGAGAAAGTGGCAAGCCATATACACGTGTTTCGGGCTTTTGGCCCATCATCAGTATGGTGCAGCCATTGTGAGGATGGGCAACACTTGGTTACCAAAAGAAAGAAATACAAATGCACTGAGCCACCATCAGGAGCCAGCCAACACCAAACCGTTATTTTAACACCTCCACACATGTTTCGATCACCAAGTGATCATCTTCAGAACAGTGCATCACACAGAAGTTGATAATTGGACATGGCACTCAAGAAAGTGGCAAACCATAGACACGTGTTTCACAGGTAGCTATAGCTACCTCCGTGGTGATTTTGATAGTTTTCTTGTAAACACAAGATCTATTAACTGAAACCACAAGTGTGCGGTGGCTCCGTGCACTTTCTTTTGGTAACCAAGTGTTGCCCATCCTTACACTTGGCTGCACCATACTGATATGGACCAAAAATCCGAAACAGGTTATTGGACAAAGCACTCAAAGGAACGTGGGCAAACCGCAGATACGTGTTTCTGGCTATTTAGACAACACTTGGTTGCAAAAAAGGGGTCAAACAAGCAAGCTGATTCATCATCAGGGGCCAACTGCCCACCTTCCTATGAGTGCTTTGTCTAATAACCTTTTTTCCATTGATAATACCATCTCACTAAATATCCCTCTATCTTTTTTTATTTATCTTGGACCCGGATGTCACGCAGGTTGCTATAGCTGCACCCATGACGAAGTTGGGAGTTAGTCCTTGTAATCACAAGGTCTTCCAACAATGACACGAAATCGCAGTTGGCCCCTGATGATGAATCCGCTTGCTAGTTTGACCCTTTTCTTGCAACCAAGTGTTGTCTATCCTTTACACTTGGCTGTACCGTACTGACAAAGGTTGTACCATTTTCTTCCTTATATTGACACAATGTAATGAGTGATTGTCAATAAATACATTTTGTATTGTATCTAGTATTTTCAAAAATAACCATATTCACAGTTCAAATGGAAAGAATATGAGAGATTTTCAGTTAAGAAACGGCTGTTTTGTTGAATCATCAAAGTGTATGTTGTTTGTTTTTTTCCGTTAACCAGCTATCGCATCCCTACAAATGAAAACCTTCAGAAGTCAAAAGTTGTGCGAGCTAAGGACTAACGAGGTCTTACCTTTTACGTGTGATTCCTAACACCTCTGAATTGATAGCTTTACCCCTTTGAAACTAATGAAACTAATAAAAGCAGATGCTTTTTTATCTCACCTTGTGTATCAACTCCTTATTATCTAAATTATGTATCCTCAAATATCTATCCAAACTAGTTGTAGCAACGTAGGGTTCTACAGGATCACATGCAATACTTGTAACACTTCCAGTGAATGAGGTAAACGTCTTCAGGCATTTTCCTGCTTTCATATCTAGTAATTGCATATATCCCCTTGTTGTTCCCACTAAACACTGCCTGAAATTAATAAAAAATATCTTAAATGGGAAAATTCAATTTTAAATTCAAAACAGAGTTATTCATCAGCATCTTATTACCTTTCTCTATGTGTGGAAGATATACAAGTATAACTAGCCTTCTTTTCTAAAAACTTGACAACTGGTCTTCTTTGAACTCGATCATCATACAATAACACATGGCCTTCTTTAGTGCAACAGGCACTCAGGTGAGGGCTTTCATTGAAAAAAGAAATGCCTCGAACTGATGTTGGAATAGGAAGGTCAAGGTAATCATGCCCAAGCTAACAAAGAAGTCATAAAAAAATTATTTTCATTACAAAAATTTCATAAGTACATCTATACTAATATAAATGTGAAAATTTATGAGGATGTGTGTATGTATGTATGTTAGTAGCTCTTTCTCACGCCTAAAAGACTGAACATTTAGAAGAGAAGAGTTTAAAACTCAATCTTCTAGAATGTTTAGAAATTGATAGATCCAGGAATTCGGGTAATTTACTGAATGATCAATTAGAATTGAATAACACCCCATTACTAAATATTTTTTCAAGTATTGAAACTGGGACACAAGCTCAGGTAATTTAATTCATTACAAACTTAGGTGAAAATCAGGTACTTGAAATGTAGGAACTTCAATTTGTAAAATTAGGTATGTTAAGCATTGAATATGTAGAATATAGTAAGACACGCTTGAAGAAGCCATTGTATGATGAAACACGTTTTGTGTTTTGTGAAATTGTTTAGTGAAAATCTCACAATAAAGTGTTTCTTGTGTTAGTTATGGATTTTCATCAAGTATTGGCCAATTCCATCATACATGTTACAATAGATAAAATGTGATAGATTTATCGAGTCAGACAACATTTTTTTTGTTTTAAAGTTCATTTCGTTTGATAGGTCTGCATCAATCATATCAGTAGCTCATTCAATTTCGACCTTTTATTATGATTCAACCTGTAGAAAAGTCATTCGAATCGAATATAAAGGAACAATTTATCACTCGTCCAAAAATGATCAACTCATGAGCAATCAATCACGATTTAGACCACAGAATATTCAAGTGAATCTTCATTCCAGTAAACCTCAGGTAAAACTAAAGATTGTATGTGTATCAAATATTACTACACCAAATGTTCCAAACAGTGCATCACATGTATGTGTATTATTGATACCTGATCGTAAACAAAAGATCTGTTTTAAAAAATCTAAACCATCAGACATTGGTATCGATTCAGAATTGCAAGGAAGTGTCTTAGGACCTTATTTTATTTTGTACTTGAATTATATTGAACCATTAATCGACTGTGAGTTTATCAACCTTTTTGCTGATATGTTAGCATGCAGCAATGTGAGTATAAAAACAGCTACTCAAAAAATAAATGTAATTTTAACTGACATCAATAAATATCTCAAAATTAAAAGTTCGAAACTGATATGTGTCTAAAACACAAGTTATGATAGTTGCCATTTTACTTGATATGGAAAACAATAATTTCACTATAAATAAATAGTGGATCATTTAAAATAGTTTCAAATGTAAAATATTTCAGTTTTCAACTAGATACATTTTCATCATCTGATAATTTGAAATATTAAGATAAAAAATTATAGAGAAAAGAATAGGTATCTTGTGCGTTGATCACGAATCTGGAGTCAAAATGTGGAGCTATAATACAGTCATCAATAGATCCAAACTTAAAAATTCATCTATTTCACTTTTAGTAGTAATAACATATAAAATGGCACCTTCTATCACATACTGTAGACCTTAATTCATCTATCTTCAAGGTAGTCAGTCACACAATAGTTTGGTTTACCAAACCCAAACCATTTTTGTAATGATGTTCCAAATGACATTTTCACTTCACTAGAGGTTATGTTATTATTTGCTGGGGAAGTCCAAATCCAAAAATGCTAAATTTGTGGTCATAATTCGTAAATTGAACCTAACTACCTCAAAAAACAAAAATAACACTTTTTTTTGAATGATACTTTCTGTTGATGATTACATCCCGAAACAAGTTCACACGTTGTGCTAGTTCCAAGCAGAGTACTGCATTTCTGGTTTTAGGAAAAGTACTTGTTATGAATTTACTTTACACCAGAGGTTTCACTTTTACCTTATATGTACAAATTCTATAAAAAATTACATGGAAATACACACAATTGTTCATTCGTTACAGAAATCTATTTTAGATAATTCTTACTTCATTATGTCACATGTGTTGACACTTGCAATAACTTTTTTCCTTTTGGATGATCGTACCTATCTACAAAGTAGAGTGAAGTGCAATGTTTTGACTTCAGGTTCGTGACCAGCAGACAAGAATAGGTATGTCCAATTGAAAAACTGTTTTCAAAGCATGTGTTCACCACAATTATATGTTTCATTTACTCAAGTCTATGTTTGACATCGTTAATAGGACTGATTATACAATTCAAATTGTTATATGTTTTTGTTCACCAATTCTTAACTGTTTCGTTCACTACTGTTATTTATAAATATAGTTGTATATTAGGATAATTACCTAATAAAGATCTGTGTTTTCATATTACACTTACCGATTTAGCTTTAAAAATACATTGTTGTGTATTTAAATCCCACAGTTTGAAGTCATTATGCTCTCCCCCAGTTCCAATGATGTTTTCTCGTGACTTATTGTGAACTGCAGTATCAAGCGAACCCTTTTCATCAAAAGAAATTTTAAAAGTAACATTTTTTCGGTCGTTCCATTTATTAACCACCCCGTCAGACTTAACAACCATAAGATAGTCATCGATACATTCTAGTCCAACGACAGGCCCTTTTCCTTTCAACCAAGTTAAATCTTGAACTTTCTTATTCTCTTTTGAGTCGTAAATGGTTACATTACTATTGTCATAACCAATGACTATTTCACTGGGGTTTCTTCCAAAAACAAGAGCCGTAACTTGAGATCCAGTTCCAGGGTTTGCACTGTTAATGTGATTGGGTTTGTCAGTTGTAGCTGAAAGATCGTGTTGATTGTTGAAAATATCTCAGAAAATATCTCAAATTCAAATTATAACACTTACAAAGTAAAAATCCCCGCACTGTACCTACATAAACTGTGAGTTTGTTCATATCCATTTTTAAATGGAAAGTGTAAAATAATTCATTAACAAATCATATCAATTTCATGTGTACTTCAAATGAATGTTTACGAATGAGCAGGTTAGTTACGTTAGGTTATGTTAGGTTATGTTAGGTTATCTTCTTCTAGTTTTTTCGCAATCGATAGTGAACGACCTTTCAGTTTTTAGCAACTAGTCTTAAAGATTATTAAGTGTGAACCAGGCTCAGGTTTATATTTTCTACGGTATTACGAGTGATGACGGTACTGACTAGGCACTGTTTTAATATATTTGAACTTGATAATGGTACTGGAAACTGACAATTTAATTGAAACTATTAGTTTTGCACTCTCGCAGGCGGATGTAACCAAATAATAAGAGGTCGAAAGCAAGGCTGTGGTTCCCAAACCGATTATTTGGCAATTAACGACGACTACTTTTCAAGTTGAGAAAATAATAACTAGGTGGTTTCAGAAGTTTTGTCTGATTTTATGAATCGACTTTGGAGTGTAATACCTCACTGAATACTTATTCAATTCAATCGAAGTAAGAGTCCTTTAAATCAGTGTACTTTTGCCAACTTAACACAAGTCTATTGATGCCATTAGCAATGAAATAGGGTGCTCGGTATTCGACAAAAATTGACGAAGGTCGTTTTCACCTGATACTGATTGGCGAAGGTTCTACTAGTGAGAAAGTTATCGAAGTGCTTTAAGAGATGGTAGTCTGGGGAGTACGGTGGGTAGGACAGAACTTCGATCCTGAATTTGTTTAATTTTTTGACGGTACATTTCGTCTATTTCCTCACGATGGGACTCTGCAGTGATGGTTTGGCCCGGTTGCAGAAAGTTATGATATATCACACCAGCCGCTGACAACAACCATATAGTATAATGAGCTGAAAAGAGGCAAAATATTAAAATTTGGGGAAAAATGAACAGCATTAATGCATAGAGTACAAAATCCTCCATCGATCAGTATACACCATGACATAGTAGATTGAATATTCACTGAGATATGGAGAAACCAAAATACATGACATCAAAACGAACAAAACTTTTTAAACCAACTTATATTAAGACTCATGAACTCTTATGCTAGAGAGTCAAATGAACAGTGATGGAGTTATTTTGTGGTGTTAAATGCGCACAAAATAAAGAAATATAGAAGAAGACAATTTCATAGTTCTTGACATTCAATCTAAGCGTGGAAAAATGTTAATTGAAACCTACAATTTAGTCACAAAGGGTTCGTTATCCAGTTCTTAATCCATCCGGTTCGCTAACCTATTTGCAGATTGTTTCAAACTTTGATAATTTATTCATTTTCTATTGAAAATATGGATAGTTGGATTTTTGAGGATTATTTTCTGAATGAAGTAGTTATATAAATCGAAAATTTTAAGCTGTTCTTGAAATTTGAGTGTATCTCTACACTTTTCAAAAAAAATTATGATGAACACAAAGTGTTTCTGAATAGGTATTCTTTATCATTTATTCATACATTCAAATTCGAAAATTTGAATTCGAAGTCGAAATTTCGATTTCAAATGCGAAATTTCGAAATTGAAGTCAAAATTTCAAGTTTGAAGTCGAAATTTTGAGATTGATGTTGAAATTTCGAATTTAAAATTGTTGCAATTTGGAAAACGGATATTGTACATCAAACTTTTCTGAGGATTAATCATATTGCTGCAATTTTTACAGAATAATTCGCGGCCCTCGAAATCATTTGCATTGTGTGCATGCACCATTTTCATCAAGTAGTGTATGATTTTGAGTTTCCCCAAATTTCTAATAGTATTTTCACTGACCCCAGATGCATTTGCAACCGTTCTTACAAAAGTGTTAAGGCACCTATCTGCATGACCTAAAATCGGTTAGGTTAGGTTAGGTCCGAAGTGAGTAGACCTATTCGACCCTCCATCGCAACCCGTTAATTATGGCTCATATCTATTCACACTCGACCAAATAAACCCAGCTTCTAAACGAAACCGATTAGTTTGTATCGTGGGTGGTCTTTCAGATAAGATAGTAAGAGTACGGCTCTGCATGGCTCTAAAAACCTGATTCTGTCCCCAGCAGGACAGGCACAAAATATGTGCTGTGCTGTTTTATCATTTTCCAAACAGAGGTGACACACACTGTCTTCCGACAGTCCGAGTCTCTGCACATGATGATTCAAATAACAGTGACCTGTAAGAAGGCCTGTTAGACATCGTAGTTCATCCCTACTGTAGTCCAACATCTGTTTGGTATCAAGCTTCGAAGGTTGAATAAACGCCTTGGAGTGAGCCAATCCTGGAATATTGTGCCAGAAGTCCATAAATCTTCTTGCCATCCTAGGTGTTCAATTTTTGTTGCCAATGACAGGTTCTGGTCCGATGAAGCTGTTTGTAGCACCCTCCTTTGCAAGAGAGTCGGCAGCCTGATTGCCTTTCAGCCCAGTATGGTCAGGAATTCAGACCAGAGACAATCTGTTAAGTCTACCTATCGAGGAAAGTCTTTTTTGGCAGTTTGATACCAATGATACCAATGATACCAATTTAGACGTTGCTCGGTAGGAGCCAAGAGCTTCCAAAGCCGCTTGACTGTCCGAGAATATTTTATTGACTTTTGTATGAGGTTGGATTCTTCCAATCTTCCCGCACACAATTCAATAGCGTAAATTTTCGCTTGAAATATAGTCGATGATATCGGGATGATATCGGGAAATATAGGGGATGATATCTCTGTCCTGGCTCTGCGACTGAAAACACCTGCACCTGAACCGGTAAGTATTTTTGATCAATCTGTGAACCAACAACTATCTGCTCTTAATATTTCCTTCTCCCGAAGGACCCAGTTCTCTCTACTCGGGAACAGTAAGTTATAAGGCAGTTCGTAGTTGACAGTTGGAGGCAAAAAGTCTGGGGTCATTTCCAGAATGCTGTGATTTCCAGTATCAACCAACAGTCTGTTGTAATCTGCATTGAATTGATTTGTGCAATAGGCAATTTTTACCAGTACTTCACTCGTCTTCGGAAGTTGAACTTATTTTTTTTGCTGGTAATACGTCTGCAAAAACATTTCCATTGAATCTGATACATATTTATCGTTTTAGTAATAAAAATATACTAAGTCATATCTGTTAGCCATTTTGCAATCAACAAGCCTACAGACATATTGAACTCAAATGTCAGTAAATAGTTTTCACACATTTGATTCAATTGATAGTAGTTTTTGGATCGAACGTTTATTTGTTGAACAAGTACATATAGAAATCGCTTGAAGAACTACGGTCATGTAGAAAATAAAAGTACAAAGTGGAACATAGTTTGATTGTCCTACAGCGTCCAGCCTTATTTCTCGAAAGTAAACCCAAAAAATGTTAGCAAAAAACTACGTCATATAGAGAATGAATAGACGTTTTGATTAAAATATCGACTCTTTTTCTTATAAAAAATGAGGTTGATCTGGAGGGTAGGTTGATGGAGTCAAGAAGAAGCCCTGTATACCTTAAAATATTTTCCTTGGTTGTTTTTGGCTACAAAAAATATTCACAAAGAATTTGAAGGTGGACTGTTTTCGATGGGACACCCAGTATACTTATATACCGTTTTTCGATATTTTAAAAGTTTTGAAAAAATTTCGGGTTTGAATTCTAAATTTCGAGTTTTGAGCCCGACTTTTTGAGTCGGAATTTCCAAGAAACGATGAAAATATGTGGCCCTCCTGCGTTTCCGCATGAAAAGACATCGCTCGTATTTCAATATTACCTCATCACATATGTTTACTTGTTGTAAAATCATCAGCCTCCACCTCTTGTAAGGTAGTGTTTGCGTGAAAGCAAAAGTATCCTCGAATGTTGCGAATATACGTTCAGTATCCACTTAGATCCTGCATAAAGAAATACGAGTAGGTATATGCAATGTCGGTTCGAGCGGGGATATAGTTAGAAGTTCGAGTAATTATCATAATTATAATTATGAAACTTGTAGATTGCTGTGTTGAGTACTATGTTTTCACTTTGATAGTTGTCAGTGTTCTGTGCCAGGATAAAGTCCGGATAAACTTCGATATAGGTAAAGGTGATTAAACAATTAAAAGAGTAAATACTCCTTTCTGAATGTATGAGAAAGCAATTTGAAATTTCGAAGAAAATATTGAAGTACTGATAGCATTTGTATTTTAAGGATGAAATTGAGGAGAAAAACAACAAAAACCCCTTATGCAAAATGTCTTTTGATCAACTTGCTTGAATATTTGATGACTTCAGTGCCAAATTTTTGAAAGTGGAGTGTCAAAATTGAAAAAAGCTATTTTGAAACCAGTAGAAACTGACCGATATCGCAAATATTGATATACAATATTGTAAGAAATACAAATAATTGTATATTTCTGTTCTGTTCTGTATGTACCTATATCATATATTTCCATAGATAACATACAAGGTGAATCGTTAGGTTTTCCCAGATTTACAAACAGCAAAAAGTTCTCATCTGTTTGCCTATCTTTCTATTGAAAATAATCGTTTTGAAAAGTAATGGAGGAAGTTACCTGAAGTTGGAGTCTAATCAACGAAACAGTTGACAGACAGCTATCAGGTACTCATTTCATATGTCCCATCAGTTGAATGATTGATGTCAACTGAAATGTGAATACATTAATAATATGAGCTAGAAATACACTCTGTGGCAAAAGGATAATTCCAATGCCAATTCTCCCATACACACACACACACACACATGAGCTAGAAATAACTGAAGTAGCATTCAAATTTGAATAAATTTACAATTAACGATATTTCAAGGATATAAAAAATGAAATTAGTGAAAGGGTTTACTGAAAGCAAAACGATAAATATTATGTCACGCTAAATCTGATATTACGGACTAACTTTTTTTTGTGCACCCCCGATATATAGGTACCTACTAATTGAATGACAGGGTTTCCTGAAAACACTTCGAAGGATAATATAACGCCATGCAACGGTTTGCTGAAACGAACCCAAACAATTACATGACGATGTCACTCTGAATCCAATATGGCGGACCGCCTATAATATGGTGGTCTAATTTTGTTTGCATCCCCATGATACGGGTATCAAATCAATGGGTTTGCTGGAATGAATACGAACGTCACTCCAGGAAAAACAGTAGAACATTTAAATCACCTTCTCGATTCCGCTTTGAATACACTAGCGATTGCTATAAATAAATCCTTTTCCCTTGGAAATTTCCCTCCTTGTCTAAAAACAGCTTTTGTATTTCCCATTTTCAAAGGTAGTAATGCAGAAGATCCAAATAACTTCAGATCTATCTCCATGCTCTCAACATCAAAATTGAGAGAAAAAATGGTGAGAAAAAGATTAATAGCTTTTTTCTTTCTAAATACAATATATTAAGCAACTGTCAATTTGGCTTTCAGAAGGCAAAAGGCACAAATGGTGCAATATTTTTCTTTCTTGAACATGTCTACACACATCTCAACAATGGTGAGGTCGTGGCTGCAGTATTCTGCCTTTTCTCCAAAGCTTTTGATTGTGTAAATCATGAACTTCTTTTGCAAAAGTTGAACTACTATGGCTTTAAAGGAGTGTTCAGGTCTTACTTAAATGATAGAAAACAGTTAGTGAGATCAAACGAAAAACTATCAGACACTAAGGACATCTTATGGGGCGTTCCACAAGGATCAGTACTGGGCATGCACCAGACATATGTAAATGACCTCTCGAAGAATCATCATTGACTATGGTCGGGGTCATAAATATAGTCCAGAAGGATCAACCACTTGTGCCCGAATTCTTTGTCTAAATCCATAAGTGTTGACGATGAGTACCTACTCGAAACATCCCAAGTGGTGTTCTAAATATTCATCTGTTTTTCGGCAATAAACTTTCGTTTCGAGAGAAGAGAGCATTTCAATGATATGCGATGAGAAAATACGAAAATGATGAGTAAAAATTAAAATAAAATAATCAACATAAAAACCCAAGCAGATGGATATTTTGGACGACTGATCGACAATACAGTTATGAAAACCTAATTTCCTAACAAAAATGTATAATACATAATAGAAATCAATTAAAGTTGAATAAATTTTCGCAAAAATAAAAACTGAAACTGAAATTGAATTTTCCAAATTAAATAAATTTTTGCAAAGATACAATTTATAAAGTTGAATCGCGAGTTTTGAATTGAAATCAAATTGCGCTAGAAAAATGATAAAACAAAAAAAATCGATTTTTAAGTATTCAAACATGAATGTGCAAAAATGTATTGAACTGTATGAAATTGTAGAAGAAAATTGTAAATTTTGCGTGGATGAGAAAATACGAAAATGATAAGTGAAAACTAAAATAAAAGAATCAACATAAAAACCCAAGTAGATGGATATTTTGGACGACTGCTCGACAATACAGTTATGAAATTTCAATAACCTGACAAAAATTTATAATATTGTATAATAAAAATCAATAACAAAATGAAATGTTTCTAAACTAAGTAGTAGAAAAAACCCTACAGAACAAATTCTGTGTCGTGCATTATGACTATTATTACCTGTCAAATTTCTATATGATGAATTCATTACCTAAACTATCTACCTACCTATCTAGGAACGATTAATAAGACTGAGAAATAATGAATAACAATTTCCACCTGAGCTATCATTTTAGTTACTTTTAAAAATTTTTGTAGTTATCAATTCCCTTCTGAAAACTAAATTCAATGAAAGGGATGAACAATTCAGATCAATTTGATCATCGGGTAATAATTCCGGATTTCTAAATCTATTGATTTCTAATAATTCCAAAAGGCTGAGTTTTGAACTTTACTCGCCCAAATGCATTACAAGTTCCTACATCATAGTGGTGATTGAACTCGTGCCCCCCTGTCAAAAAAGATTCGCAAATGATGTTGAATTGGACTTTCCATTCAGAAAACTACTCATATGTTCTTTTATTCTTTTGTGAAAAGTTTTTTCTGTTTGTCCGATATAAGTCAACTTCTATGCTCCTAATGTATCCGACACGTGTCGCGGTTTTGTAAACTTTCAAGTCCAAATCTCACATTAAAGTGTGTATTTTGAATACGTTAACGAGTATTGATGTGAATACATTAAAGATTCAACATTGGGTTAGTTTCAGTTACCCACATTTATCGTACATCATATCTTAGTTATCACAAATCGAACATTAGGAAAATTTCATCATTGTAGACTTCTTGTCGCAACATACAGTGACTCCATAAACTGAAGCAAAAATTCATTATCATCCAAATGAATAATATTCAGAATCAAAAGCTGAGGTGCTCTGGGATATTTTAATAAGATTATTCACCTGTCAACTTATGGACGCACGGTACACAGATTACTGCAACTCGGGTAACAGTTCATGATACATGATTACAGTGATGAAAGTTCTCAAATACGCATTATCTGTGAATAGTTGGTTAATTAAAACACTACATAGTATCAATTAAATGCTCAAGAAATTAGCGACTTCAAGGAGTCCAAGGTTGTGTTACGAAGATTACGCAACAAAAAATTCTTTTTCATTTCAAAGAAATGTAGGTTAACGAGAACGGGAAACTGAACAATCGAGTTTATTCGTCATTTAGTCTTGTCTGTAAATAATGAAGAATGAGTGATATAACAATAAGAAAAAGTTGAGTACAGTGTCGAATAAGAATCTCCGAATTATGGTTTGAAAAATTTCCATAACGATTGAAAATTAATGAAAACCAAATCAAATTAACGCACATTTTATTTCAGGAGCAAAATGATTCAATGAGATTAACCTTGCACTGGTTAATATTCCTAGGCAGAAACCATTATCACTTTTGTTATTATACTATTCGAGATCATTCAGCGAGCATAGCTTTTACTGAATGTCATACATTCAACAGTAAAAAAAACGAATATTAATATGTACATTAATTTTAAACTTTTTCCACTACTACCCTTGCCATTATAGAATATATAATGTATAATATTGGACTCCAATTTAAAATTAGAAAAAAACATAAATTACCTTATCCAATGTGCATACTTCATCACTTTTAAACCATATAGGTATGGCCGGTTAAATTTGAACATCCACCTTTTTTGACCAGTCCACGTATAATCAAAGCAGGGGAGCCGACGATGCAAAATAGGAATTTACTCGAGCGTCATTGAGACATATGAGGTTGCAAAGCTCAGATGGTGAGAAGAAAAAATTGTCATATAATATACAGGCTGATTCACGGTGGATGGCACATTAGACGTTTCTGGTGAACCAGACAACGAATCACTTTGAAAATTTAATGGAGGGCATATTCGGACATTCTCTAGCCAACTAAAATATTTTCGACAATGCGGTGTTGCCGCTTCTATTAGAAAGCAGTAGCAACTTTGATTTTTCAAATTGGAGATTCCAAAAATAATATTATATACAGAGTGTTCCATTTGAAAAATCAAAGTTGCTACTGCTTTCTAATAGAAGCGGCAACACCGCATTGTCGAAAATATTTTAGTTGGCTAGAGAATATCCGAATATGCCTTCCTTTAAATTTTCAAAGTGATCCGTTGTCTGGTTCACCAGAAACGTCTAATGTGCCATCCACTGTGAATCAGCCTGTATACTTTTTCATCGGTGGGGGAAGCGGCTATAGATTTTTAAGTACCTATGTAAAAAAATACTGTTGCATGGACATACTCGAGCGCGTCAAATATTGATAGCATCAATGTTCTACGTATTTTCAATAATGTTGGTATGTTGATCTGATCGTTTGCATGATGTGGGTGGTTGTAAGTAAGGGTTAAAAGTGAAAAGAAAAAAAAATGTAATCGAGCGCGTTAGATTTTTTAAGAGGGTGTTAAGTGCATAAAAAAAGCTCTCATTCGATAATCTGACGATTTCGATCTGACGCAAACTCGCGGCCATTATTATAATGTGCAAAAAAAAATTCGCCATTTTGAAATACTCAAGCGCATCAGATTAAGATATATATGGTTCATCTTTATGTTTTAGACGCGCTGTCTCATAATTTGACGATTATCTAGAGGAATTCGCTTAATCTGACATAAACAATATTTTTTTAAAAAATTTTTCAATTCATTGAACTTAATTAATTGAAAAGCTCAGGAAATAGCATGCAAATGAATAAGTGTATGTTTTTAAGTAAAATACTTGTATTTATAAGAAAATGATTTTTTTAAAATGCTCAAAATTTTTTTTTTATAATCAATTGATTAATTGATGAAGGGAAGAGAAATGAAACTTTCTATGTTTTTCACCACTTTTATTTGTAACTAACGTTACTGTAGTTTCCTATAAGGACATTTTCAAACTTATGTATTGTATACGTTTGAAAGTGTCCTTATAGGACGAAACTGCAGTAACGTTAGTTACAAGTAAAAGTGGTAAAAAACATAGAAAGTTTAATTTCTCTTTCCTTCATTATGATTTCCTACCAAGTAGTAACGGCTACATCCATCAATTAATTGATTCATTCATCATCATCTTCATCACGAACGAGTCTCTGTGATCAGCTGTGACAGAATTCAGAGTGGGGACGGAGTGAGAGAGTAATATATAGAGAAAAAGTGAATAGAGAAATAGAAACTCGGAGAAGGAAATATAGGCATCACACAGCTGCACGCATTAAACTTTATCGACGAATTTTTTTTATTTCGGCTTGCAGAAATCGTTAAATTATATATTTTTCGTTATCCTTAAATTATTTCTTTCAAAATAAAAAAAAATTAGCTACGCTCGAGAATGTCGAAATGACGTTATTTATTTACAACTTTGCTGCCCTCCCCTTTCTTTACGTCACTCTCAAATTGTCAGATTACTGGAATATACACTTTTTAGCAAGTAATTAACTCACCCCACCTGACGCGTTCGAAAATGTCTGATGATCAATTTTTTTTTACTAATCTGATCCTTCATTCCTCACAGGCGGTCTTATATATGGGGCTCAGATTTGGTGGAGGTACTTAACCGGGTACAAGGTATCCCCCTGTGTATCAATCTGCCGTGCTTTATCAGTGAAAAAAAAACGCTACTCATGCTAATATAAATGAAAGTTGATAAAACGTTTTTATAGATTCAAACCCTCGAATGAAGCAGAAGTTACATTCACACCACAAAAGTATTATTTTTCAATGTTCCGCTGTGATCATGAATTACAAAACATTTTCTTTATCAACCATATCGTTTTCAAAAATCATAGTGAAAACTCGTAATTATTAGTAGGCTGGTATAGGTATATACTTTCGGAAATTTTGAAACAATACTTTAATTTGTTACTCGGATGTAATGTGGGGTTGATTGACTTCAATAGGAAAAAGTATTGCAAAGACAAATATTGGCATCATCAAAAATATTTTGTTAGATGTAAATTAATAATGAACAGTTTTTCATTTGCTTTGAACACACCTTGATAATCTGAAATTCATTTACTTTTTTCTGAAAGTCCAACGGAATATGAAATAATGAATAAACTTTGTCAAGTGTCATGAATTCTCAGAAATGTAAAAATTAGAAAGTGAAGCATTCGTCAAATTTTTATTTCGTCATCTTCTTTGTTTGTGAATAGAGCTATCAATTCTATGTCAATTGATATTATTTCCTTATCGATCAGAAATTTCATGATGTTTTTGTTATTCTTTTAGCTATCTTCTCTCAGGAAACATCACATGTAGAACAATCGTTTGAAAGTGGTTGACAATGTTTCAATAAAAATAAGCAAAATATCGGGTGATGACTGGAGATGACTATTCATAGGTCATTCGAACGCTTTTACCTATCCTCTCCTCCCTCGCTCTACTTCACCGCTTTAACGGGAGTTGACATTTTATCCGCGTGATTACAGGTTTCCATATGTTATGCATCTCTACGCTAGATTGACTGAATGTGACGTTGGACAACATATATGCAGCTTCTTCGAATTTTCTCTTGAACCAGTGTTCCTCTCTGTTGATGATCTCAGTTCGGAACCACTTGATGTTATATTGATGAGTCTAAACATACTCTTCTATTCCCGATTAGCTGGTTTCTCCTCATTGTGTGCTTCTCTTGTGCTTGGCATTGCGGACTTTCAATGGCCTCTTAAATTCACCAATATAGGATTTGTCGCACTCATAGGGTATCCGTTAAATGCGATTCTTGTAATAACAGTCCGCGTTTGGTGGCCTGGTTTTCGTGAGGCTGCTACGGATGGTGTTTTCGGATCTGAAGCAGGTTCTGATGTTGTACTTGGACCCAATTCTTCTTATCCTTTTCGACAATCCTCTGACGTACGGGAAGGAAGGACAGGCACTGGTTGTGACGGCTTCTCTTCCTTATGAGTCTCTTGCTGTCTTCACATCACATGTAGAGTTTTGAGAACCGTTCGTCTGAAAATATGGAACTCAAACATTAGTTTTCTCTTCCTCAGTCTAGAAGTTTTGTGGGAACTGCTTGCTTCAGTTGTGAGATCTGTTAGCAAAAATACCTATTAGTTCAACTCGAGCAAGCTATTTTGATGTATTATAAAAATGGAAAAGTAGAATATCGTTGAGTGAATATGTATCTTCATTTGGAATGGAAAAACAAGGCGGACATCATATCAAAGCCAACCTGTATGCGGTTAATGATTAATCTGCCTCTTAGTCGTTAGCAGCAGTCAAAATTTGTTCGTGGTCAGAGAATGTCCTGAGATGAATGTCCAGATGCCCCAAAAAACGCCGCTTCTCCAGAAACCAAAGTCCATTATGTAATCATGACAGTCGTTGAATGAAATTCAAAGATACAGCAAATAATCTCAACATGTCAAGTGTGCATCGGCCGAAAAATTGATGACTATTTTTGGGACACGCAATGCATTAATTATATTGACTTTCAGGAAGTTGAAAGGATAACCATCAAATACCTTAGAAATGAATTAGACCATTTAGACGCTGAGTTAAAAAAACGCGTCGGTGTTGTTCGCAAAGAAGTTCTCTTCCAGACAACGCACCTCCATTCAGGGTTGTTTTGCATACAAAATGTTACACCCACTGAGCTACTAGTTGATCGGCTACCATTCACCTTTTCCAGTTCAGATCCTATGCGACTTCTTCTTGTTCACAATCATAAAAAGTGCCGGTCAGTAAGATGTAGTTCTGAAGCAAATAATGGGGTCAGGACCGAAACATCACACTGAAAAGCATTCCATCGGAAGTAATATCACAAGTTTTTACAGATTAATTTCCATTTTTCAATGAAAACTTTCTTATTTAGCAATATCATGAGAGCAACCATTATGATAAAACCACGAGTCCGTAGGTCGAATGGTTTCATCTGTTGCTGGTGTTTTGATTTGTATTGTTCAGAAATAAAATCAAATGCCAAAACAGGTCGATTTTCAATTCAAGAAGAACATATTTCTATCGTAACCTCAACAGTCGTAACTCCTCTTCCACCCCTTGTGACCATCATCCTTAGAATTTGAATAGGGGAAGTATTATAAGGAATTTATCAATGTGATGTTCACTACCTCACTCTTCATTTTGGTGTCTTCTTGTGACAACAACAATACCAGAAATGCTCTAAAAGGTCAGAAACCGTTTCGTGTCACGAAGTGTTCTGGCGATGTATTGAATTTATTGGAACCTCAGGAGACACCCTACATTTTCTTTTATGAGAGAAAGGACATTGGCAGATGTCAGATGATGTGGTGCTGCAGGTTTTTCCGGGTTTTCCTGCAGATGAAAATGCAAATGCGCCACTGGAATCAATAAACTCGCCCCTGAGCGTCAATTAATTTTAAATGTTCTTTTATAATTTCATGATTTGTATTACGAACAAAATAAAACTGCCCTTCTAATTATTGAAATAATTAACGATTGTACAATGTACATTCCTTAAAATTTCATAATCTCTTCATCACTTTTTCAAATGAAAATCCATAATTTTAAATACAAAACAGTTCTGTTTCCGTGGAAACAAAAAGTTATGTGCATGAGTTATGTTCATGAAATTGCCTTTGTAATCTGTTTCTCTGTTTAAAACCAGGAGACCGTGTAGTTCTCTTGGTTACCATCTTGGTTGCCACCCTTGGGAGGTCTTGATTATGATAGAAAGATTTTCCTTGAAAAATGGACATTGTTTTGAAATCTGCAGCAATAATTCTATCTAGATTAAGTTATGTTCCCAGTTATTAACATAATTTGTGTGTGACTGGTTAGTGAATCTACCTTCGACATGAGTTACAGAACAATGTTTCAACTGGATCTCTATAATATTATCATCCATGATGCACAGAATAATTTATATGCAAAGAGTATCTATTCATCGTGATGCATTAGGTTTTTCTACGAGTTGCCCTGCAGCAGAAAAGAGATTGCACCATATGTGATAAAATGACGTCTTGAATTGTTTGACTTGTCCCAAATTATGACCAAACAATAAGATTTCGATAAAATCAACCAAGGAAACAGATGAAATTCAATATAATTGTTTCTGGCATTGAAATATCATTACTACATGTATATTATCGCCCCTAAACATAAACGTGGTTGAATGAATTAATCGACACTAACAATTAGGCATTTACAAATTTCAGAATACTAAATTATTTCACCATTTCAGACAATGAAATAGATGGAATTTCAGAAGAAACTACCACAGCAAAATTCAAAAAAACTACATCGACAACAATCATTCCAAAAACCGAAAAAAGAATATCTACAACTGAAAGGCCTAGTCTCGTTTGTCCAGGAAAACATGTTATACGGCCATTTTTCGCTCTACCCTGCTCGACTACCAAAGACTGCGGTATTTTCGGAAAACATATGGTTTGTTGTGAGAAAAGGTGTATAGAAGGAGTGGAACCACCCAAACCTGATCCAAAACATTCTCGTAAGTACCTACTGATGATGATGTATTCATTTTTCTGAAGGCTCGTTTTGTATAGTTGATTTTTGCATTGTATGTATATAATTCATTTGTGTACCACATTCTACTCGTATTTAAAAATGTTCACGTCTGGAAACAGCTTGGGCTAATAATACCTCTATTTGATCTATTTCATAACTAATCGCTATATTTAAATTTCTTTTGATATGAATAACATTCATTCATTATCATTATTATAATAATTACTATTATTATCATCATTACTGTCACTATTATGTTTTTTTTCCATAGGTTAGCCTAGTGGGTTGGGCTAGTCGAAACCTCTATACATTCGGGAGGGCGCACCAGCATAATCAACTAATGACAACCCCACACATCGTGTGGTAAGAGATCATTGAGTCTGGAAATCATGTGCCCTAAGCAGACGTACCGGCTAATATTTCTGCCTTAGTGCGGCTGGCATGGTCTTTAGATTCGAGAATAGGGAAGGCATAATTCCACTAAGAACTCCAATAATCAGAATAACCATCTAAACAGAGTGGTTGATAGAGTCTGCGGAGTTAAAAAACTTCGGTAATTCATTCGTTATCTTAATTTTTTCGGTCAATATTCGTCTCACCCAGGGCTGAAAGCTCCATGACCAATATGGTATTGCTCTGTAATGGTGAAGAAGAATTACATCAGGCTGATTGGCTTGCAAAAGCCTAAAGGAGGGGAATGATGAAGAACTCTTATGTCCGCGTTATGTCGATGAATATAGGTTGCGACCGCATCTGCTGAACTTGCCGACAGCAAATGCATCAGGGTCTTTGAAGGCGTCCTGCGGCAGGCCCTGCGCCTGGTGTCACGAACCTCTATACTCACGATTCTACAGTAGAGTAAGGTGTTGAGGACACAATTCTGGCAGGCAATGATCAACACCTCAGTTCAAGGCTTCAGCCCAATCGACCTGATGAAAGCGAAGTTCAGGTGCTCGATAAGCCAAAGCTTTCGATAATGTTGGAGAAAACCCATGCTTCGACTTATCCTTGTGTTGCCACAGAAGTGGGGTGATCTCTGCGGCTTTTATGTGAGACTTTTGTTGAACGGGTTCCAACTCGGTGACAGATTTGTTGTCATTTCGTTCAATGTCGAAAACAAAACCAAGTTCATGAACCGGTCGGGCAGCTGCCCCGAAGAAAAATGATTTAATTTCTGCTCTCTCATGGTGGCGGACTATGCAGAGAAGGAAATTCGAACTCCTAATGACTCCACAGGCTCCATCCAGAACCATTATGTCATGTAGTCCATGTAAAAGTCCATGACCTTCCTGTTGTCGGGAAAAGTTTAACCGTTTAACGGAAGATTTGGGATGCAAACTCCCATGGAAATGCATCAATTATCGGAGTTGATACAGCTTTTTCCTAATCCACTTCACTTTTCCAAAGTTGTAAAGTAAACTCGGAACGGCAAGCATATTTGTATCAGCAACTTTGTTCTTTAACGACACTCCCGATGACCAAAGTGCTAGAGTTTGTCACTGATATTTGCCTCGGAGAGAATGATTCACTAAGGTAGTCTCTTATGAGTGGCGTTATTCCACTCCTAGGTAAGAATACGTCTTCCTGGCAATCAGATGGTACAGGATGCTTCTGTCTACGAATTGCACATCATTTCCGAAATTCCCGCATCGCCCTCTTTTCTCTAGCGGTATAAACTTTAATATTATCTATATGAGACAAATGGATGACCTCATGCCCCCGGTTTCTGGGGATGCCACAGTTGTACCTTCGAGTATAATTATTATTATCATAATAATTATTATTATCAATTTGTACAAAGAAGGTTGCGACATCTAGTTCTTTTCTTAGGCGTTCCCGTACTACGTAGAGGGTATCTGTATCTGTAGAGAAAGGAGGGTGAGTGTAGACCTACAGCACTTAGGCCACATGTGACTCATTGTACATCCTCCCGAGGAGTTGTCCCCCTGGGTCATCGTCCATCCTGTTCTTTCCAGGAAGGTGGATAGGTCACTAGGAGACATCTCATTTATATTGGCAGGTGTAGGCCGAGACTCGCCGAACACACACTCTTTTGCAACCTTGAGGTGTCTCACGGTGGCCTCCGCGAAGGTTTTGGAAGGTGCAGCGACATTACTGTCGTTGCGCGGCTTCTTCAACCTTCTTGGGGTTTCCTCCGTGAAGGTGCACAAGTGAGGGAGCTTTCCTGCAGGGGCAGACGTTTCCTTGCCTTTATTCAAGGCGGAGCTCTTGACGCCCGCCGCAGGAAGTGCCCTTGCTGTTGGAAGTGTAGTGGGGGTAGAGGAGGGTGCACTTGTAGTTGCTGCCACACCTGCCTCTTTCGCTATCTTTCTCCTTTTGGCGTCGGCGCAAATGCGCTTACACAAATACGCTTACTCCTGCTATGTCCAGCCTCATTCCAAGCGGTAAATTGGGATGGACATTTCTCTTCAACCCCAGCCACTACCTTATATTGAGGTGACTACTTATGTCCAGCCTTGGGATTGGTTTTTGTTGTTTTTGTTTATGTGTTAGTTTCATTCACGTGTGTTCCCACGAGTAGCAAGGGCAGAGTTGGTCACCTCTGGTAGAGCCCCGCATTATCAGAGGTAGGCTGATTACAATGATGTTTCTCCCATTTCCCCAAGGGGATCGTTCTTAACCGCATATCACCCTGCGGCCATTCAGCTGACGGCACGATTTCTTACATCTTAGCTTGGGTTCAGTTCCCCCCACCCTAATTATTTCTGCCACTGACCAGGAGTCCCCCATCCACTACCTGGGGACGTGCCCGATAGGTAGCCCAACCCACGGGCTGCGAAAGGGGTACCGGCATCAATAACTAATAACCACTCTCCACGTCTCCACGTGAGTGATCATTGGATATGAGAATCATGTGCTCTTAGTGGATGCAATGAGCCAAGAAGAAGGTAGTCATTCATCTTCCATCTTAACATCTAACATCTTACATACAGTCTGCGGAGTTCGAAGAGTATTAGTTCAACTGGTTTTCCTAATGTTCTTGGTCAATATCCACTTCACTCGCAGCAAAAAACTCCGACGAGTAAGACGATTATCGTCTTACTATGTTTGTAGATGAAGATTGAATCACGCTCACAATGGGGATACCATAAAAGTGCCGAAGGTAGTAATACAGTAATCTTACGCTAGTTGCACACACACCAATTTTGGACGGCCAGTATAAAATCGGCCGATATTTTATTGGTAGCGGGTGCTTGCACACTCACCGGATTTTTATCGGTCAAATAATCAGTTGCTTTGTTGTCGTAATTAGCACGCACTACTAAAACGAAGTTAATGCGTAGTAACTACAATTTCACCGAGCATTCGAGACTGGAATGGTCGGTAAAAAACCGGTGAGTATGCAAGGGTGTATTTAGTCATGTACCCCACTACTTCCCGGTACTGCCGGCGATTCAGTGGCAGTGGACGGCTGCTCACCGGTATTCTACCGGCGACGACCACCGGTCGGCGTGTGTGCCAGATCCCGTTCCCACATGTGGTTCACTATTGGAATTTGGATGACCGGTACAAAGTCGGCTGTCCAAATTTCGATGCCGGTAAAATACCGGTGAGCAGCCGTCCACTGCCACTGTATCGCCGGCAGTACCGGGAAGTAGTGGCGTACATGACTAAATACACTCTTGCATACTCACCGGTTTTTTACCCACCATTTCAGCCTCGAATGCTCGGTGAAATTGTAGTTACTACGCATTACCTTCGTTTTGGTAGTGCGTGCTAATTTCGACAACAAAGCAACTGATTGTTTGACCGATAAATATCCGGTGAGTGTGCAAGCACCCGCTACCAATAAAATATCGGCCGATTTTATACTGGCCGTCCAAAATCAGTGTGTGTGCAACTAGCATTAGTGCCGCGTTTTATCGGTGGATATAGGCTCGTTTATTTTTCAAGTAACCTCAAATAAAATAGTCCAGTGTTGATCTGATGGACAATTTATTGCAGCGTCTCCATTCAATCCACCGTCTAGGCAACCGAAGTCACAGCAGCAAAACATTGTGGAGATATATGCTGAAAATGAAGCCGATCAACAATATGATTTTGTACATCTTCGTTTATTTTTTTACTGAAGGGGTAATAGCAACTCGAGCATTTTTTGTTGAATTCCACTGAGACTGAGAAGCTAAGTAGATATTTTTGTTGAACCACTCTGTATGTATAATACTTTTGACCTGTGCTGGATAAACATCAGTATGAACATTCAAGGCAGTTGCATCATATACTGGTTTTTCCATCATACTTTCCCTTTTCTACCACAATCAGGGTAAATTGAAGAGCAATTCCGATATTTCACAAGGGTGCACAAGAGAATTGGAACCTATTGCAATTTGTACAATTGAAAATTTATTGGCATATACTCTCTATCATGGTCTACCAAAAAGATAAGATCTTTATCGAAGTTATGTAATATATATGAGTGTGTTTCGAGATGATCTTTAGCGAAATTTACATTAGCAAACGATGTTTGATCTTACGGAAAATTGCATAACCTATATAATGAATTAGCTTTCACCATGCTCGGAATCTAAAAAACCAGTTAGATTCGTGCTTGAAAGCGAATTCAATGTATCAGTTGACATTGAATAGGTATATCTGTAATGATTATTTGTCAGTTTTAATTTGAGGACTATCGTTTGTTATTTTATTTGATTCCGACTTAGTGGTATACAATTTGCAGATAGTCCAAAATATCTTGCGTAAACAATACTTCTATTTGAATTTTGAATGTCGATTTCTGTTGGTTTCATACATTGTAATACATTCTTGGATTCTATCACGGCTGATATTTTTTTTGTATACGATAAACGTTTGTACGTAACTACTCAAAAAGGGAATCATCATCGGCATACTACTTTTGGAGTAATGATACCGTCTCCTTAGCAGATCAGATCACAGCACACCAAAACAGCCCTCTCGTGTTTCACTTGAGTCTGTCCAGTTTTTACCACACCACAACCTGAGGGTTGTTAGTGGCTTCTGGCAGTTCTCCTGCGGGATATTAAAGTGTTAGCTACGGATTGTAGCGGGGTAGGGTGGTGGTGTGATGCTGCTTGTAGGTAGCGGTTGGTGTGTGTGGGTTTCCGCCTAACAGAACCAACAAACAGGGCAACAGAATTGAAGGAGACAACAAAGGCTCTGCGACAAAATGGCTACGGACCAAAGATCATTCAAAAGGCCATCGACAGACAAAGAAGAACCAAAAAAACATCCACTAGATCGACAGAAGACCCTTCACACGACAGACAATCTGTGACACTACCTTATGTCAAAGGTGTGACCGATCGGGAGAATACTAAGACGTAAAAACCTCCGGACAACCTACAAACCACACAAAACGATATCCAGTTGGCTGCCCAGACCGAAAGAGAGAATTCCCCTAGAAAACCAAGGAGTATATAGCATCACATGCGAGGACTGTGGTCAACAATATATCGGTCAGACCAACAGACGTATATCTGCCAGAACCCAGGAGCACAAAAACTCGATAAGAACAAAACAAACTCCCTCTGCCCCCTTTCAACACCATCTACAAACAGGTCACAAGAATAATTTTGAGTCCACAAAACAGATAGCACAGGTGCAAAACCCTAGAATTCGACAAATCAGGAAAGCTATCGAAATCGAAAAACAAGGTCTCATCAACAAAAGGGATGATTCACTAAACATCCCAAAGATTTGGAAAACAATAATTAAAAACAACCCCTAAAGACAACCACAAATCGATAATGAACCATCGCAGGTAGGAGAACTGCCAGAAGCCATCAACAACCCTCAGGTAGAAAAACAGGTAACAAATCCATAAAATTTACGCAAGTGAAACCATATAAAAACACCACAAGAAAAACCTAACATCATCATATATATGCATATATATATGCAGTATATATTTTCAGTATTTTAATTTTATACGTTATAAAAAGGATTTGGTGAATAATCGTTTTGAGGGCACCTGACGGTTTTAAAAAAATGTTTGAGTGTACGTATTTTGATGCGTAGATTACGAATCTGAAAGAAAAAAAGCAGCGCTCGTTCTTATTTACAAAGTTACGGCCCTTCAAAATTTAGAAAAGGGCAACTATTCAGCCTTCTTTTTCACAAGATGAACTATTTAAAAACATTTATCCACAAGGTCACCTTTACGCCTTATTCCTCCTTCCTTGACACTTTTCACGACAACAATCAACATTTTTCCAATAAAAATGTTGAAAAATGTACGGAGCTGCTTTTTGGTTATATATCTCTGTATTTTACGTTTTTAAGGTTAATGACATAGTTGGTAAGACTGATGCTGTCAATATTCCTAAAGTAATTCTACTGTTTTTTGCCATCATTCTTTGCGGCAAATACCAACCGCTTTTTTCTGAAATGTCACTGATAACTAACATAGAAATAAAAGAATGTCACCAGAAAAAGCATTCGTTTTAAAATTAAGTTTTTTATAAGAAAAATGTTGATTGTTGAATTGAAAAGTGTCAAGGAGGAATAAGGTGTAAAGGTGACCTAGTGAATAAATGCTTGTGTTTTTAAGTAGTTTATCTTGTGAAAAAGAAGGCTGAAAAGTTGCCCTTTTCTGAACTTTGAAGGACGCAACTTTGTAAATAAGGGAGAGCGCCGCTTTTTCCTTTCGGCCTCGTAATCTACGCATCAAAATCCGTAAGTACACTCAAACATTTTTTCAAAATCGTCAGCTTTCGACAGCTGGTCGTGCAATCTATATATGTTTATATAGATGAGTGGGAGAGTAGGAATTCAAATAACAGAGTGATGATTGATAATAATTCTGAATACTACTCACTCACATATAATATACAATCGATCGCTTCAAAAACACTTCACTAACTTTCGTCGAAAGCTCCTGATAATTCCCCTTTCATATTCTCTGTTTTACTATCACTGTCGTCATTTGAATCACGAATGAATTTATTTCCACCATTAAAATGGAAGTGTACAATCTCCATATAGTCTTTTTCAACTAAAATAACTTTTTTAATCCTTTTCTCTGCCAGTCTTCTTCGGTACTATTAGATAATTGTTTAACTAGCTCTATTACCTTCTTATAAAATATTGTAAAATAATTTTTACGCCTGATGCTTTGTTTCAATTTTCTCCAAATCAACTCGATGGGATTGAAAACACAAAAATAGGGAGCAAGTCTCAGTATGGTGTTTCCATACTTTTCAGCAATACTTATTATTGGAATCACTACACAGGAGAAAGTCTGCGTTGTTATCACAATCGTTATTACTATCAGTACTTGTCCAAGAACGCCACATTTTAAATAGGTAACAAAACTCAATTATAACAAAAAGTACTCATTACTGCACCAATATCGAATTTCAACACTCAAATCGCGATCACTTCTGGACTAAACATTGACAACACGATGGCTCGCATTCTATTCGTCACCGTAACAGGACTTCAAATTTAATTTTATGACTCTTCAGCCAATCATAAAACTCAGTTAGTAAAAATTATCCAATACGAACCGCCAATTTTTCAGTCCACGTGGACTAATTCGTTGCGACATAATTCCTTTGTATTGGTTTTTTTGGCCGACACCTTTTAGATTACTATATCAGTTACTTCGACTATAGGTACTACATGACAATGAGCTATTCTCACCATTTTCACAAATTCACTAAAAACGTTAGGTATTGATGACTGACAAACAAATACCAAACAACGCAGCGTCTTCAAACTTCAAACATATGCTCTATAATTTCAAAAACTACACTTCACGATTTGATCTCCACAAACTTTATTCGAAAAATATATCACATGTTTCTTAGCTTTGACAGTAGCTGGCACAGTAGCTTTGACAAAACTACTGTGCCAGCGAAAATATAATAATCTTGGATAGACAACTGAAATACGTATCAAACGAGGTTTCACTAGACCCCCATTTGAAACTAAGTTGGTGGCGCCCTCTTAAAGACAAGCGATTTTTCTCATTATCAAAAAGTAGTGAAAACAATTTAATTTTGAGTGAATTTTGTCCAACTTTGATTTCTTGTCCCGTTCAGAAGTTAAGAAGGAAGGAAGGGATCCGGATCTGAAAGAAAATTCTGAAAAAATGAGCCTTGTCATTTTCATAACTATTTTACCTTTTTCCGGTTTCCCTTCTACTTGTTTTAGGAATGTCTTCAAAGCAATGAATTAACTAACAAATGTATTACGGAAAGTATTATTTACCATCATAATTGATAATTTCAGCTACCCTTTTTGGACTAGTCGAGCAGGTATGTCCATCAGAACCTGTTCCTGAAATTTGGGAGATCAAGGAGTGTTCAACGGATGAAGACTGTGCACCTAGAATATGTTGCCCTGAAGTTTTAAGAAATGGACAGAATAAGAGTTATTGCAGAACAGCACAGCCACTATGGGAAAAATTACCAGCTGTCAATCAGTTTGTAGATCGTGAGTGGAATTTTTGAATAATTTATGAATATGAGAATCTTTCACTCACATATTAATGTTAATCCTAACCTTCGTGTTGAAGGAGTATGAAAATTATAGTCCATTCGGTGTTAACTGAGACTGAAAGAATTTCAAGAATGCAAACATGCCAGTACATCAAAGAAAGCAACACAGTCGTCTAAAGCAAGTGGCACTGCAATTCATCCACAAAGTCACTGAGATATTTCTACTCGCTATGCCCCTTGAGGACGCCGCCAACGAGCTTTTAAAATAGTGCTGTTAAACAGCTGACGCTGTTTATCATATTGCGTTAAATATGGTATCAATAGGCGTCGGACTGGGGGTATTAATTTAACTTTTCCAATGATATATTTTGTGAATATGATTGAAATATCGTGAAAACTAATTTTGTTTAAATATTTTATTTTGAGAAGGACAATTCATATTTGAAATATTTTTTTTATTTAGGATTGTTACCTACAGATTTCTAAAATAATCAGATTATTGAATTTAAATATGAATGCAAATGTAGAAAGGGCAAAATATACTGCATTTGATAAATTAGCTTTTTGGAAAAAATCTTTTTGTCAGTAACTTGAATTTATAAAATTTTGCATACAAAATAAACATGTATCATCTGGTGGCGTTTCAAAAACTTTTATCCAACCTTTTTAAATCAAAACATTATTACTTTTAGTCATAAATCGTCTTTTGATGTGAATCAATTTGATGTTATTATTATTATTATTATTGACACCGATAATATCGAATTGATCGTAGATTCAATAATGAAAATGGATAAAGTCTTCGAAACGTCACCAGATAGGTACTTATACAAATAGAATAGGTTTCCGAGATTAAAAGTTTGAACATCTGAATTTTGGTTGAATCGCGCTGAAAGTTTTGCATTTTTCAACGTTTCGGCTTCGAAGTCATTCTTAAGGAATTATAAACATGCATAACAATTGTTTTTTCATTAATATTTAATGCTGACAGTTTCGGACGCTTCACGTTTCCTGAACAAGAAGTTTCCATGTTGTATAGCTTTTTATTTAACGCGCTCTCGAAGTAAACTGAAGAATACCACTAAGACTAACCCCTCTACCATCGCCTTCAAACTCGCAACAGGAAATTTTCTTCCTAGGGAAAAAGCCAAGTCGGTCCTATTGATTGGCGCAGTGTGTCTGTTTGCGGTCTAATTCAAGGGAATATTTATATTTGTTACGTGTTCGGAAGTAGACTGTCCTTACATGATCTCACGTTCTGATCAAATGAAATGCATTTTCTTCAAAATTGCTGTTTTGTTCAACTGCGCCTATCCCTATCGTATTATGCCAACTCATTCCTAGGTGTACGCCACCTGGGATTCATTGGTGACAAATATATAAGCTTTTGAGGTGACCTGAACATATAATCATTCAATCGGTCCTACATGATTTTGAACTCTTGAAGTAAAGCTATGTGATGCATTCACCAGATATTCCCCGTACTGCCAACTAACCTCGGTCTCCCGTACATTTTCATTTCCAGCTATTCGCACTCTAGTCAGTTACATGCAATGTACTCCTCCACCTCCACCACTCTTGGACCTATTTCCAGTGCCATGTCAAACGCCTTTGGATTGTTTCCCAAATTTATGCTGCCAAGAGCGAGGAAGGAGGTTTTGTCGTCCACCGAAAAAGTCGATACTAGCCCTGATTGCTGGTATTGGTCAGGTACTGTGAATTTTGAAAAAAACTGGAATGCCAAATCAGACATGGTATACATTGATTTGGGTTGATTTTTTTAGTTTGAGGCAACACAATTGAGATGACATGGAAAATTGATTTATTATTGCAATTCGAGCCAGGTTCTTTTTTGGAACCTTTCGGTTGTTTCAATAGTTTTGTTTATTTTAATGTCACGTGTTTCTGTAGCTCCGCGTTAGAAATCACGCGTTTAAAAGTAAGACCTTCTTAATCCTTAGCTCGCACTCGCACAGTTTCGACTTTTGAGGGTTGTTGTTTGTAGGGGAGCGACAGCTGGTTAACGGAAAAAACTGATTTTGAAACAGATATCACAATAAATATCAAATCTACTTAATATTTTAATTATCAGATTTACCTGACTATTACATAAGGACACATTGTAAAATTAAAAATTAATTTAAGTAAATAAGGCAACATTGTGAAATTAATTTAAGACACTTTAAGACGCAGGTATCAAAAGGTATCTATGGTATAAATAAGGATAACATTGCACGTATATTTAGACTATTCTTCCTCTTGAAGATGATCACTTGGTGATTGAAACTCGTGTTGAGGTGGTAAAATAATGGTTTGGTGTTGGGATAAAACTCCAGTAATATTTCCTATCTGAATGAAATTGTACCTCTTTTAAATCATAATATTCATCAATGATGCTTACTGCTCAGTGCTAATTCAAAAGATTTGAAATTCAATGTACGGTAGTACAATGAAATTGTTAAATTGACCAAAATAATGTTGAGAAAATTAAGAGTTATTAGCAACTAGATGATGTATTATTTTTACTCTTCTCTATCATTGTTATGATACTAAATGAGTATGTTTATAATTATTTTCTTATACTTACTGTATAATTTTTGGGAAGGGTGGAAGATAGTCTTTGGCTAACCCTTTTCCTTTTATATATAAATGTATTTTTATGCATAATAAACGATATTATTATTATTATTATTTAATGATAGTGTTAATAAACGCTCTGTTCGACATTGGTTTGCGAAATTTTGTTCCGAAGAATTTAGCCTTAAAGACGAGCTAATCACTAATCCAGGACTAGGATTTAATGACTGACCCATCACAAACGGTGCGTGAGATGGCAGAAGAACTGTGAGCATCCTCTTCCATGCGGTTTTTTACTGTTTGAAATGCATTGGAAAGCTTAAAAAGCTCAAAAAGTAGGTACCCTACGATTTTAAACGATCTATAGAAATTGTCAGGTTTCAAGGTCTGTTCTTCTTTGCCCTTGTACAATCAAAACGATTCTATTTTGGATTGGATCGTCATATGTGATAAATAGTGAATTCTGCACGAAAGAAGACGACGTTCAGGAGAGTCGTAGTGTATACCGATGAGCCACCCAGATACTTCCCAAAAACGAAAACCTTCCGGAAAAAGACCTTGCTTGCAATATTATGGTTAGCGGCTGGTGTGATTCACTATAACTCTCTGCAATCGGGCCAAACTATTTCGCCAGAGTCCTATTGTGGGAAAGCTGACGAAATGCACCGAAAATAACGTCAGCAGCAGCCGGTAGTCTACAGAAGATGTCCGATCTTGCTCCACGACAACGCCCGTCCACACTTTCCACAAATCACAGTCAAACGGATTGAGCATCACCCATTGTACTCTCCGGACCTCCCTCCACCCGACTGTTATCTTTTCAAGCATTTCGAACTTTCTCACCGTTAGAACCTTCGCCAATCAGGACCAGGTAAAAACGATCTTCGTCTAATCCATCAAATCCTGACCATGCAATTTTTTGCTGACGGGGAATCAATCGACTCGTGTTGCGTTGGGTAAATTTAGCACTGATTCAAATAACGATTGTTTCGATCAAACTGCATAAGCGTTCACTGATATATAGTTTTAAGTAGTCATAAACACGGACAAAACTTTTGAAACAACCTAGTATTTCGGATACTGAATGTTTGTTTTGACATTCCAAAATAATATTCGACTAACATAGATTATGACTATTATGGCATGAAAATATTGAAAGCCCTAAATATTTTATTATTTTCAGAGAATAATTCCAAATGAGGCCGCAAGAGACTTCATCAAGAGGATATCTAAGTGATGTCAGATTCAAAATTGTTTTCGAAATGATCCAAAAAGAAGATTACCAACTTTATTGCCACCGATAAGCCACTGATAAAAATAAAAATATTCATTAAAACTTTCATGAGTAATATTTTCTTCGCTTTAGTGAGTATTTTCTAAATAAATTATTCACAGATTATTTCGAATGGAAATCAACAACAAGGTACATTCTGCCGTGCTGAGTCTTCCGTTTGAAAGGTAGGTGAGGACAATTTGTAAAACATTCAGAAAAAACTAACAATAAACGTGAATGAAAAATGGTCAAGAGTAATCTGAGTTTATAGATCGAAATATAACAAAAGGTACGAATGATTTCTCAAAAAATTAAACGTAATTCCTGTTTCACTACTGGTCGATTTATATACAATTAAAAAATCAAGTTTGTAAATAACACATACAAGCTGACACAATTAATAATCCTAGATGTTTACAGACTCACAAAAATAATTCAAAGAAATCAGTGAACTTCAACGCGTTTGAATACATAACCTAAAATAATATATGTTATCCCAGATTGTTATTGTGATCACATTCATTCTCATCTACCTATTTTACATCACGTAGAATATGCAACACTGTACCGTCACACGAACAGGGATTTTAACGGCATCTATAGCGTTCTTTAAAAAAGAGGCCGATGTAAATGAAATCGAGTACGCCATACATCTCGAAAGATTCGCATGAAAATTATACACGAATGAGTGGCGACACCAATGTACTTGCATTACTTATACTTGTGGTACAGGTATCTTATGTTACATTTAGAAGGAAACGGATGATTAAAAGTTTTTCATCCTTTTTCAATAATGCTCTCTTCCTTCTTCTCTTTCTAAACGTCAGTCCAATAGTTGTAACGTCTACAGAATGTAATTTTGTTTGTAGTGAAAAGAAGAAGAATTCAGCTTAAAGTAAGGTTAAAAATTGTCAAATAATGTGAAAGGAGTTTGAAATATCAGATCAGTCATGTCTAGAGGAAAATTTGGCAAATGGATACATGACAATTTAGTACTAATAACAGGAATTCCTCTGTTGATTGGAATTCATTGGGGTTGGTCCAGCATGCAGGATGTACCATACTTGGTAGATCCATCTGAAAAGAGAGAACTTCCCATATTGGTTGTATGTTGAGGCAATTCTTTGTTGTATAACCTTTATAACCAGTTGTTATTTTTCTGTAGGCACTTCGAACGATCAAAAATAAAATAGCTAGTAAATTTTCCAATTCGACAGAAATGGAGAGTTCAACCCAACAGAAGGCCGAGTGATTGTGTGATTGCCTCATTTGTACAGATATTCAGTAGATTGTTATTTATATATATATACTAGGTAGTAAATTTATAAAGCATTGATTTTGGTAGTGCTTTGTTGAAGGTGATTTAATTCATCAATGAATATATATGAAACTGTATCTGTATTTTTTCAGTGTACTAATTAAAGGATGACAATGAAAGCGAAGTTATTGGTATAGGTAAAGTCCCTAGGATTTTACAAGTCACTTTTATTTTAAACTTTTTTGCTTAACAATGAAAACAGGGTCATATTCTGTTCAATTTAGTTGTCTTGAATTGACAACACAAATGAATATTTTCAAATAATTGCTGAAAACAATTTGGAGTCAAATCAGTTGAGGAATGACATACCTTCAATTGATAATTATTCTGAATAAATGTGCTTGCCAAGGTTTGAGGTTTTCTTCCATTGGGTTAGATGACTCAAGAAATGAAGCACCAGAAGCATATCAAAAAGTGGAAATACTGAAGCAGTACCTACAACAACAAAAATCATACTCATTCAAAACAAGGCCTTCAGTAGTAAAGTTGATACATTTTTCCATTTACTTCAGTTTACTGCATATAATGTGATGAACCTATAAACAGTTTCAGAAAAGCTAAATTAGTATTGCTCTATGAGCCAAGATTTTCTTCATAAATTCTTTAGACTCCACATTTTCCGAGGTATTTCATGAAATACCACACCACCAAATCAATGAAAAAATACATTCAATATTCACTATTGATTATTGAGAATTTTTCATAGTTATTGTGAGCGAAAAGTATTATCACTTGTCATAAAGACTGTTGAATCAGCCATGGATTTACATTAGTAGGATGTTTTGAACAAAGAGAGGGTGAGAGGAAATTTGGAATTCACTCTTTTGGTCGAATCATTTTATTTTTAATAGACAGTAAAAACAGAAAATCAAAATATTGTTGTTTTTTTTTTTCATATTCACTATACAAAATACATCAACTTGAAAATCTCACTGTGAATATGATATGTACACTGTTGAATACTTAGGTATAGTTTCAATACAATTTTATGAATCAAGTTTTTACTGCTCTAAGTAAATGAGCCATTTGGGATATGATGCTCAAGTTCATTTTTACTTTATATCGTTAAGAAAAATTCTCTTTTGAGTTCTCAGTAACCAAAATGAAACTTATTACCGTAGCTTTTCATATTGACTTCCTACAAGAGTGTGGAACATTTTTCACTGCCTCAATTAGGATGATAGTGTTTATATGCAACACAAAAGATGATAACTAAAAATTTGTTTTTTTGTTTGTGCCAATAGATATGACATCGGATTCCTATGTTGTAAAATACAAATGGAAACATTGTGTTGAATACTGTGGAAGGCTTTCCTAATGTCCAAAAAGATAGTTGCTGTTAGGTGGTTTTGTCATTTGAATGTGATTTATCAGTATCATGAAGGGAAGCATTACTCACGAAGAGGATTCAATTGGTAATGATTAATTATATTTTATAAAATCTGTAGGATAAGGGTTTTAATAAATTTCTCTAGGTTTGTAGCAAAGACAAAAAGCAGTGTTATTGGACAATAGCCGATTGCACAGAATGATCTTGCCATGTTCTAGAAATATTGATTGAGCCTGTTTTTCTTTCGGAAGACAAATTTTATGAATTATATTTATTTGTAGCAGTGTAATATGTGTATGTTTTATCGTCAAAATTGTTCATTTCAATGAACATTTTTTGTACTAGTAAGTACCTATTTGTTTCGGGAGGGGTTTTTCTTCCTGAAATTAACTTCTTTTCAAAGTTTCTGTAGGCACTTCGAACGATCAAAAATAAAATTTTTGATATCTCTCAAAATTTAAGACTCTTATGTTAATCGTTTTACTTAAAAATTCAAAACTTGTTTTGTTGTAGTGTATAAAAACGTGTTATCATGATAGTAGCGATTGGATTATTCTGAGAGAGATCTCAGTATTAATAATTCTTTATTTTGTTCAGAAATTTTCGAGATATACATTGAAAGTATGTTACCCAAGAATAACTTTCACTGTTCAATGGTACTTTATTTCCATAGTCATACAAATCACATATACTAATTCACTTTGTAAAATTATTTGAATAAAATCACTTGAACAGCGAAAACCTCTGTCATATAGTAGGTAGATGGGCAACTTTCGATTTCTGTTGGTTGTTAGATGGTTTGGAAGGACTAACGGGTTTTGAACCTGTCAGTTGTGGCAAAGAAGTTCCCAACAGCGAATTCTGGAAAAAAGAAAAACATGAAAAACATTAATGTATTTTCATCACGTTCGTAACTCACCCTTGACCTTTCCCTAGTAACTTTGTCTATATTATGTACATCATTTTCATCTACTTTGAAGTTGAAATTTTCAAAATAGTTATGTGTTAGTAATTTCTCACAAGTCCATCTCTTGGCAGGATCTTTATCTAGACATTTCTAAAAAATAAATAATTTTTGGTATTGGAAAATCATGAGAAATGGATGGAAATCATCTACAAGAAGAAGATCAAGAAGATGGTAATCACGTGTCAAGGTCTTAAAATAACGGTTTGGTGTTGGGAAAAAACTCCAGTTATATTTATTACTACACCAAAGGTTTCAAACAGTGCATCACAAGAAATGGTCTTGTTAATTACTCCCGAACGAAAAAAACAATACACTTAATTTATTGGTGAAACAATAACTAAAATTGAAACAGGTTCTTAAAAGATATTCATTCATTGTTAAACTGTCGAATCTTAACTATCAACGAAAACATTCCTGCAACAACACTGAAGAAGGTAAACATATTTTTGGCAAATGATCCGATTCTAAATCAGCAAATCATTTCAAATCAAACACTATATCAAAATATTACTCAGAAATTGGAAGGCTCAATGATAAATCCATAGTCATATGTTTTACCTTCATTGTACTCATGCTTTGCAAAAGATACTTAGTTCAACTTCAGAGGACGAGAAATTGAGAATATTCAAAAGAAACATTTCTTAATGTCGGTACCTTGAAATATATGTGAAAAGAAACTTTTACAGATATGATAAAGTAATAATTGTTTGTTGAGAGATAAGTTCTGTGCACACGATGGTCAAATAAACCTTCAGGATATGTATTTCAAATATTTATACCTACATTACACCTACTTAAATTGTGAAATGAGTAGAGAACATACTCTATACCAATTGAAAAATATTTCATAATACGACGGAGTCAATAGTTCATATAAATTTTCTGATAATGAGTTTTCAGCTATATGTATTACTTGTTATCACAATTTTTACCTTGAGAAAATCAATTGTGGTGCTATTGCACAACGGCATTTTCACTTCCAGAGGTACAAATTGTGAAGGAACTGGCAAAATGACACCTTGGAAGAAGTCATTGTTTTTGAATGCTTGCATATGCCTTGGAAGAAAATCCCCCACAGTACATCTTATCAAAAACAATTGGTCTACATCTGATTTTCCTGGCCAGAGAGCTTCGCCTTTGATCAGTTCTGCTAGAACACAACCTGAAAGAGACTGTCAGTGAACTACATACTTAAAAATTTGAATTACAATGTGAAAATATTGAAATTGTAAGAGTTCTTTAAGAACAAAAACATCGTGAATTAATTAATTGTTGTAAAAAACAGCAATATTGTAAGATATACTGAGTGTGGATGAAAGTTGCTTCATAACATAATCACTATAGTTTACATTCTTTCTGACCTGACTCACAGCTAACTCCTAAGTTATGTTGCCAATGAATTTAGTAGGTACTTTCTGAAAAAATCATACAATGGCTTCTTACTCAAAATTTTAAATCGGCAATTCTCCTGATATAAAGTTCTGGATTAAATCATTGATCTAGCATTCATATATGTGGTGTTCGCCGAAAAAAAGGTACATAGTGTACGATAATAAGTTTTCGAGAAAAACGCGTTTGAAGTTTCGTAGTGTATTACTACTATGTACATGCCTTCAGTGGGGTGTAAGGTCTGCATATCATTTGTCTGGGTATCTGTGACGCCATTCTTTCAATCTGCGATGTTTATTCTCGTAGTGTGGCGGTACCTTTAGTTATCGTCTGTAATTGGGCTATAATGCAGCTGATTAAAGTAACCTTCTCGTTTCTGGGTTTTCTATCTCATTACCACAAATGTTTTTTTTTTCAGTTTCGTAATTTCAGTGAGAGTTTTAATTATTAGCTTCCATAAATTCTATTTGATTAAATTGAACGCGAGTGACGATTTTAAAAAGAATCAAGAGCTTTTCGATGAAGAGTTCGTTGCGCCAAGACCTGAACAGGCAGAAAGAAAAAAGCAAAGAAGTCATCAGCCACACCCGTAGTACAGCCAAAGCGAAAGAGACAATCAAGCTCAAACTCGGAAAAAAAATCAACGTAAAAAAGTAAAAATTTGTATTTGTGGCTCTAGTTTGCGATTTAATCTCGAGGTATACTCATTGTGTTCAAATAATTTATTATATTTTTTTGAAATTTTGTTATTCTTAATAAAAGTTTACTTATCATGTTCTGTTGATTGATTTTTTAGGGTTTTTGCCGTTAAGGAAAACTTAATCAATGTTTTTTGAAATATACATTTCTTTTTGAAACATTGTTGAATTTTTTTACTAAATTGTGATGAAATGCATAAAAAAATATTATGCCTTTGAATTCAGACACACTGAAGCCGCTCTTCAATGAAACTAGGTGAAACTAATGAAAAAAAAAACATTTTGTAAATAGTAGTATCTATGTTTTTGAAATGACTTACTATGAACCTGTTTTTCAGCGAATGGTTCTGAACATACTATTACCAGAAAAAGGTGTAAAAAATTGTAATCGCAAGTTTGACGATGTTCACGTGAAAGAGCATATTTTTAATTTTTTAGTTTGTGTTGCTATCAAAGCGTGTTTTTTTAGTTTTCAAACTAGGTATTATTTGTTTTATATCACAGTTATCACCAATTTGGGACCTACGTTTATGTTTATGTGTACATAATGTATATTTACATGTAGGTATGCTTGTTTACATATATATTATTATTTTTGGTCTTTCAAATCTGCATACACAGTTGGATAACCATTATATCAAGTATAAATTGACATGTGCGATACACTATTTCGAAATAGAAAGTGATAGGTACACACGTCAGCAACTTTTGATGTTTTGAAAGCTCAAAGTAAACCCTCTTTGGAATATTGCTCAGGTAAAGCTACACACCTGAGCAAATTGTTAGACTCCTGGATTTTAGGTTGTTTGAAAACCGAAACATCACAGACAGAGAGACAGAACAAACAGAAGAGTTATAGCCTGGAATATTGCAGCAAGGTGGAAATCTTTTTTTTCTGTAGTTAATTTCAAGGAAAGTGTTCAACAGGCTAAGCCCACTTAATTTCATCTGAAGGGATAAATGTTAGAAGTGTGTGACAAAATACCACTGCCTTTGTCCTTTGCTTCGAATTTCAACTCAACGCATTTTTAACGACACTTTTCAAGAACTATTTCATTTGGAGAACGGCATTCTTGTAGAATATTTGCTACTTTCGCTCAGAAGCAACTTGAGGATTAACTGCTGGTGCATTTCCATGAAAAATCTGAAGAAGCATATTTGCACAGATTATTTATTGATATAGTACATGTGCTGGAAAGTCACATACATGACGCTTTTTCAGTTGGTACTAACCTCCAAAAGAATGCTGTTGGAATTTCATGATATTCTACTCATAAGTTCGTGAGTTTTTGTGCTTAGAGTGACACTATTTTTGTTATTTTCAAAACAATGGTTCAAAAACAATTTCATGTTTTGATTTCACACTGCTTCTTGATGGAAAAAAATTACGTTGAAACGAAGCAGGCTTGAAAAGTGTTATAAAGACTCCGCTCCTTCAGAAACCACAATTATACGTTGGTTTGCTGTCTTCAAACGTGGTCGTAGAGACATCGATGATGTAGAACGCAGTAGACGTCCAAATGAGGCAGTAACACCAGAAAACATAAAAAAATCCTCAAAAAATCTTTTTGAATGATCGAAAAGTGAAGTTGCGTGAGTTAGTTAACGTTGCGTTGTGAATATATCAGAAGAACGTGTGAACCTTATATTGCATGATCATTGGACTATGAGAAAGCTCTGTTCAAAGTGGTACCGCGCGAGCTTACTGTTGACCAAAAACAAGAACGTTTTGATGATTCTGAGCAGTATTTGGCAATGTTTAAACATAACAAACCGTCGATATGTGACAATGGATGAAACATGGATCATCACTTCACTCCGGAATCAAAACGATGCTCATATGAGTGGAGAGCAATTGGTGAACCTCGTCCAAAGCGCTCGAGAACACAACACTCTACTACAAAAGTTATGGCTTTGGGATGTGCTTGGGGTAATATTCATCTTAAGACGAGCTCCTAGCGACTACGGGCTGTTCGCAGACTTCAAAAAATGCTTACCTACCGGTAAGAAATTTCGCTCGAATGAAGAGGTTATTGCTGAAACTGAGGCAAAATAAAAATCGTTTTGCAAAAGGGTTATTGATATGTTAGAGAGGCGCTGAAATGATTGTGTGCCTTTCGATGGAGATTACGATGATGAATAAAGCCAATTTTGAATAAAAAAACGCGTTTCTTTTTCTCAGTTCAGAAACTTTTCAGCCCAGGTGTTATTTCTTGAAGATATATTGTGAGATCGCTTCGTTTCGAAATTCAGAATTTGAAAAGAAATATTTTCCTCAAATATGGTTTACTTTATTGTGCCTCAAATAGAAAAGTATTTTGTATTACCTACCTATTGCCCAAACATCTACTGGTGTCCCATATTGTGTGTCACCTACTAATAATTCAGGAGCTCTGTACCATCTTGTGGCAACATAATCTGTATAATTTTCACCGGGATCTGCAACATGAAAATTGGATAAATGGCTTACGATGTATTAAACCAATGGTGTCTCAGAACTAATTTAACTGTAACGCATATATGTATAGTTTGGGGGTTTTTAGGAGTTCAATACCCCCTAAAATTTGTATGGTCCGAACAAATTTCGTGATTTTTTATGAAAAAGATGCTTTCATGATAAGTTCGTATTTAACGGTTCATAAAATATTGTAAAAAGTCGATTTTAATTTCGCACTTTTCAAGGACTTTGACTGTTTTTGTATGATCATTTGTATTGAGGTTACTTATATCCAATCGAGTTATTTTTAACGCCAAAATATGTGGTTTAATTGATTTTATCACATCCTGTATATGGTTACCTCACTTCCACTGGTGAAATAAATTTTTTCATACCAATTCGCTAGCTTTTTCCTCACTTCCTTATGGTGGTCTATAAACAGTAGTCCTGAGTCCACCACAATTTCGAGGTAACTGACGCTCGTTGTCAGCTCAATCATTCTCCCATTCATACTTGAAACCGGGGGTCTTTAATTTTTACTAGTTGGTATGTACATACATTCCGTCTTCCTCTCGTTACAACTCGGCCACATCTCTTCCTCCCATGCTTCACAACTTCCATCTATCTTGTATGCTATCGACAGAGTTACTCTCAATACTATTAATACGCTCGAAGCATGCTTCCATCACTATCAGCCAGTGTCGGTCCCAGATTTGAACCCTGTGGACAGCCTCTGTTCACCGTTTCAGAGACCGTATTATAGGTTTATATTTCTTTCTTTGCATTTTATGGTTTTTGTCATGCCTTTTTAGTAATATGAATGAATATTAGATGGCTATAGAAATTAAATTGCTTCTCATAATCGAATATTATTCAGTATAAGGGATCAAAGTAGGACATTAGATTGATATTTTCTATAGAAAGCAGGTTTTTATTCGATGATATTTATATTTTGAATTGAGAGATAACGTTTTATACAGGTATTGCGCTATTTTGATGTTGAATCGTTATGAGGTCTATACTGGAGTAAAGAAAAGTATTATCTTCAATATTTGAAATATTTTAGTGTCGGAGACGTTATTTTCATTATTGGCAGGCCGTGTAAGAAGTCTCTCGTGACTGAATTTCGAAAAACAAATTTATACATTCACATTTACTGAAACACAAATCTGTCGTACATCAAAATCTGTAACAAATGAAACAATTAAATAGTGAACAAAGATGTCACTCATTGTTTTTCACAGAGCTATTTATTCTAATATCAATTGTGTAAAAGAGTGTCAAATGGCTGAAACTTCTACTGTGTTGATATCTGAAATGAATAATCATGTCCAAGTAACCTGGGATCGAACTTGAATCCCACCGTCACTTACTCAACATCCTGGCGAATCCAAAGTCACATAATTTCACTACCCCATTTGCTGTCAGTAATATATTTTCTGGTTTGATGTCCCTGTGAACACAACCATGCTGGTGACAATAAGCTACTGCATGCAGAGTTTGCCAGATTATTTGCTGAGTCAGAATATCAGGACATCCTCTAGGATACCTCTCTAATTCGTTGAGAACAGTTCTTTCACAATACTCAAATACCAAATGCAAACGGCGCTTTCGTCGAAATACTTCTATGAGATTGACGAGGTTGGGGTGTTTCAAATTCTGAAAAACAAAAATTCGAATGAATTTGAAAAATACTCTAATATTTAAATTGAGGGAGGTATATTTTTAGGAGACCTTACATTTTCAGGACGAACGGTTTTGGCTTTATACTTCTCTATTTTGATACCAAAGAGTTACTTTTTGAAAATGATTGCTTCCTTCTTTTCATTGGAAGCCAGATCAAGCCAGTCTCGGATATACCTACACAGTAGGTTGAATGGACTGATGCCTATCAGAAAACAACTATTCCCCTGGCTAATACCACGAAGGGCGTTGGGTTATATCCGACAGGCGTCAGTGCAGGAATCTTCACAGAAAATTTCCTGCATATACAATCAGCAATACAACTGAGAGTCGACCTTCAATTTTGGGACGGGCACACTTGCAGACCGGTTTCGGGCTCATTAGCCACTCGTCAATGCAAGATAGCGGCCATCATCGACCTGAAGTCAATAATATTCCATAATTGAATAATAATTGAAAATCGGAATTCTTTCAGTGTATTTCATTCCTCTTCCTAAGTTGGAGCGAAAAACAAAATGTCACTCCATCTAGTGGACGAGGTACTAACCAACTGCATATCCGAAATTTGCCCGATTCCTCTGAATAAGGGAGGAAAACTTTCTTATTAGTCAGTGGGTAGATTTGTTTACTGCTAGTCTTCATGCATAGCCCACTGACTAATAAGAACGTTTTTCTTCCATATTCAGAGGAAACGGGCAAATTTCGGATATGCAGTTGGTTAGCACCTCGTCCACTAGATGGAGTGACATTTTGTTGTTCGCTCCAACTTAGGAAGTCAAATGAAAATTCGATTTTCAATTGCCTCATGTCCCCCGTTAAAGGATGAATAACTCTTTCATCCATCCCACCCCAGCCAGGTAGGGGTATCCCGTGAAGGGCGGCACTGATGCCTAAGGATTTCATGCCGTCACCCATCAGTCATGTACCCATTGGCCCCTCTCAAGGCCAATGATCAGCCAAAAGGGTAGGGGAGCTGGTCTCCAAACCTGAACGAAATGAAGATGGATTTCGTCTGGATTATCATTGACTTTAGGTCGATGATGGCCCGTATCTTACACTGACGACTGGCTAATGAGCCCAAAACCAGTCTGCAAGTGTGCCCGTTCCAAAATTGAAGGTCAACAATCAACAAGGTTTCAGATATGGCTTCTCAACTGAATCAAGTGTGGCTGAGTACACCCAAAACATTTTTGAAAGAATGGCTCATGGTGAATATGTGGTATCAGTATTGTTCGACTCTGATGATTGGAGCGTCTTACTTCAATAGGCTTCCTTATAATATAAAAAATAGTAACACGTACGGAATTTTTAAAAGTAGGTTAAAGAAAATTTTTATGAATCATTGTTTTTATAACTTAGGGGAATTTGATGACTTCCTTTCTAGTAGTGTTAACTGAGTTCATAGTGTTTATTGTGCTTTATGATTTTTTTTATATTCATATCAAGATGTCCTGTATACTTATTTTATGTAACATTGTATTTATGTGTATGTATTCTATTTTGTCAACCTAACCTGTAAACTTGTACTTTAGGAGTAACTTTTTTGTTGTAGTAAGATTGTGGGGTTTTACACCACACCAGACACGTCCAATCCATTGTATAAGAGGAAAACGGATTTAATAAAATTTGATTTGATTTCAGTTGTATTGCCAATTGCATATGCAGGAAATTTTCTGTGAAGATTCCTGCACTGACGCCTGTTGGATATAATCCAACGCCCTTCGTGGTATTTGCTAGGGGAGTAGTTGTTTTCTGATAGGCGTAATACCATTCAGCCTACTGTGTAGGAATATCCGAGACTGGCTTGCACGTTTGAAGTTCATTTCTTTAGAATTGTTTACTGTCAGTCTTCAAGCATAGCCCACTGACTAATAACAAAACTTTTCTTTCCCAAAACTCTAATATAATTTGTGGAAAGTGTATCACGAAGGGTTATTCAAAGTAGAATATAAATGATGGAATTCAAGACTTCATTAAAATAGTAATATCCGTTTGGAATTATTATATTAACTATGTATGATGAAATGAAATACGTCAGTTTGATTCGAATAGTATGAATAGTGGCATTTCCCCGAGTAGAGTAAATAGCAAAATAGTGAGACCTAAAAATCATCATAGCTACTCAAATATTTCAAACCCCGTGAAGCCGATTATTCTCAGTACAATGTTCCACTCGTTTTGAAATATTTCTCTAGAACTAAAAGATTGAGTTTCAAACGTTTCTCTTGTAAATATAACACGTCATAGTCGTGATTAAACTCATGTCCTTCTGTTGAAAGATGGTTTGCAAATGTGAAATTGATCTTTTCATTAAAAAAAAACTACCTTTATTTTCTTGAATTCGTTGAAGAGAAATTCTCCCCGTTTGGCCAATGTAAACTTTTGGGCGAAATCCACAAATTAATATATACACGTCTGAAGAAGCTATTGTATAGCGAAACACGTGTTGCATTTTTGTAAAACTGTTTGGTGAAAATATCACAATGCTGTGTTGCTTGAGTACGTTGTAGATTTTCATCAATTATCCCCAGATTCCATCACAAACAATTCGACACTCGAAATTAATGTCAAATATTTCGTCGATTATTCCCTCCTTATTCAGAGATGTAATAAGTTTCATGGACATAAATGTCACATAAACATTGGGACACTTGAATTCGCTAAAAACCACACAGTGTAATTATTGTGATCACGAATAACATGCAATTTTTTTCTGTAAACAAACCTCAAAAACTTCCTCGAGCTACCTAATCGTGAGTTTATGTGCGATTTACAAAAATCTATAAACGTTGTTCAAGTTGTTATAAATTTATACTTTTTGACTTTGACAACATGATCTCTTGGATGAACATTTTTTTCACTGAATTTACAAACAACTCAAACTGATGATTATTACTATTCCATTGATTTTACCCCGGTTTGTTTCAGGAAAATCATTATATGTTTATTTGATGTGGTTTTCGAATATTGTTTTGTTTGTACCGTGTCATACCATGTAAACAAGATAAGCGTGATATGATCCATTAGTGGTGTTTTGTTTTTAGTTTACATCAAATATAATTACATTATAATCATTTGGTGTCAGGTATTTGAAGTAAAGACTCGATATTATGCTGAGAGGGAAGGTTTCATTATGCTATGAAGAAATTAGTTTGAAATTATATTCATTATAGCCATTCAATATTAATTTAATAATCAGAATAGAAACCAAGACATATTTTGAAACTTCTTTGTTCTTACATAAATCGTGTTTTGAAAGGAGCATTCTTTTTTGACAAGAATATTGAAGTTTCTTACTTATGTAATTTAAAAACACTAATGTATAACCTTTCTTATTAGTCAGTGGGCTATGCTTGAAGAAAGGCAGTAAACAAATCTGAAGAAATGAACTTCAGTCTCGGATATATACCTACACAGTAGGTTGAACGTAATCAGTCAAATTTCGGATATGCAGTTGTTAGTACCTTGTCCACTAGATGGAGTGACATTTTTGATGTTCGCTCCAACTCAAGACGAGGAATGAAATACTCTGAAAGAATTTCAATTTTCAATTTAGGAATATCTTCGACTTTAGGTCGATGATGGTCACTTTATTCCACTGACGAGTGGCTAAGGAGCCCGAAACCGGGCTGCAAGTGTGCCCGTTCCAAAATTGAGGGTAGACTCTTTCAGTTATATTGCCAGTTACATATGCAGGAAATTTTCTGTGAAGATTCCTGCACTGACGCCTGTCGGACATAATCCAACGCCGCGCCGTTCGCCAGTGGAGTAGTTGTTTTCTGATAGGCGTCAGTCCATTCAACCTACTGTGTATAGGTATATCCGAGACGGGCTTCAACATTCAAAGTTCATTTCTTTAGATTTGAATGTGTAACCTGTTGAATCTACTTCAAAACGTTGGTCATATATTAAAGTACTGAAACCGAATTGTCAGTGGTGGTTTGATCAGTACGTAAGCGTTTATCCGGTGATGAATTGAACGATTCTTCCTCTTTGATTCACCATTAGGTTACTATTCATATCCATTTTTCTCAAGAATACTTCAGCGACATTATCTTTATCTTTCTAATTGTCTTGTTACCCAAAAATCCAATATACGTTGACGGTTTAAAAAATGAGGGGAATGTTTAAATTTCGCGGGATACATACATTCGATTATATTTTTCAATTTTCAATGTTGTTGCATATATGTTGACAGTTTCAGCTGTTTAGCATGTTTAGTTTGTTGGTGAGAGACATAAAAGTAAGGAAGTAGCTTCAGCTAACGACCAGAAGGATCTGGTATTCGTTTTTAAGCAGAATTTTCCATAACCTCTTTTTTCGATATCTACTGCACATAGTTTGAAATGTAACTACCAATGAAAAAAGAAATCAGTACATTTTTAAATGAGCCATAATTCAATTGAGCTTTCATGCTTGTCAGTTCCACAATCTTAAAAAAGCTCTTTCATTTGAAAACAGGAACCAACTGGTTAGAGCTAATTTTTTTCTGAATGAAAACTATTAAGTATCGGACCCAAATCGCTCCTATTCTTCCACCCCGTACTAACCGACTTCTGCATACCTTTAATAGCCTGATTTCCCTGAGTGCTATTTTTCTAATGAGAGGATCCTCTTCACTTTCCGCAAACTTCTTAATGGCTACTATTTCTCCAGTATCTCTGTTTCTGCATTTATATACAATTCCATAACTACCCTCTCCTAACTTGCTGATCTTCTCATATCGTTCCATATTTTTAGATGGGGTCCTCGTTCTGAAACAATAAATATATTCATGATATTTTCTTTATTATTTCATTTGAAATGATATTCAAATGACTATGTACCGTAAATAACTCATATAGTATGTCTCAAGTAAGTTAGAACCTTTATTATTGATTTTAGGAAAGAAGTTATTGCTTCCAAGAAGTTATGCAAAGGCCTTAAACCAAAATTATTGGTTATCAAATTTTTACAGTCCTTTACGAGATTTGGCAAAATATGAATTCTGCACAAAAATGAAATATCTTGATTTTTCACAATATCAATTTGTATCTTCGTCGCCTCTCCAAGGCGTTTGAAACCGTCTGTCACAAAAAGATGCTAGAAAAATTGGAGAATATCGGCATGCTCGGTGAGATGTACGATCTCCTGGGATCGTATCTCTAATAAAAAAAAGTGGTAAATATCGATGGTATACTAAGTAATCAATCAAAACTTGCGTTTGGTGTCCCGCAGAGAATAGTCTTGGGCCCTGTTTTATTCACCATATACACCAATAGCTTGTTAACACTACAATCAGTAGGTGACATTTTGAGTTTTGCTGATGATATAGCTGTCAAACACGTGGGAACAATTTGAAATAAAAGCCGAAGTGGATTTTAACACGATCGTCAGATTGTTTGAACATAACAAATTAACTCATATAACCTTCCAAGCATGGGTCCTTTGAAATTGCACAAGAAAACTTCAGTACCGGAGGCTACTACAATCAAATGCTTGGGAGTAATTCTAGAGAAATGGGATCTATATATGTCACATTTAACGGATTACGCGGATTTCTGTCACGTTTTAAATTATTGAAAGAAATTCACGATATTCCTCAGTTAAAAACAATTTTCTATAGATTAGTACAATCATAACTTGATTATGGAATTATAGCATGGAACGGTTTGAACGATAAACACTTAAACAGTCTGAATNTTGATTCCAGTGGCGCATTTGCATTTTCAGTTGCAGGAAAACCCGGAAAACCTTCAGCACCACATGATCTGAAGATCTTGATCTACCAATACATCGCCAGAATACTTCATGACACGACTATCGTCAAACTTAAACCAGTCCGTTTCGTCTTTGACCAAGACGTAATAATGACCATATTCAACGCCAAAACCACAGTGAACAGTGACTGCATGATGATTATAATAGTAGTCTGCTAGATTGAAGTGTTCATCTATTTAGAACCTTCGTAAGAGTTTGGTGCTTCAATCAGAGGTTGAGTCGTGTTTGTAGATCATCAGTGTTATTATTAGATTGATTGGTGCCTCAGCTCTACTTATTTTCTCATAAGTCAGTTAGTTTGGCGCATGTTTGGCAATACAGTCGATCATCACCTGTTAAAATTTCCATTTTCAGATGATTCAAAAATAAGCTTTGCACGGACTGGTTATTAGTCATATTAGGAATCGATAGTTGAAGTTCCAGAAATTCACATACGTTTTTGCTAACTCTTGAACATTTAATACAAAGTAAACAGGTGAGGATTTTTCCAGCAGTAGATTTACAAATACAAGACGAGATAGACTGTACAGATTCATTGAATCCAGAGCGGCCAGGAATATTGATTCTGCTATTTTTTTGCTCACGAAGGGTATTCAACAAGAACCCCAAGAATTCGGAACAATCCTCCTGTTGTCCCAACGAGTATTTAGTGGACTCCAAAAAATCGGTTGGTGGGGAAGATGATACATTCTTACGAAACTACAGCTGCATATTGGTGAATATGTAAGAAACATTCTCGTTCATCGTTAAAACCTTGTTCTTGAAATTCTTCGTCATAAACAATATTTGTGAAATGCTATCCATATAACAAGTGTTCTGAAATTATGGCAATGTAACCAAAAATGTTTTTTTTACGATAAAACTGTCGCAGAGACTCTTCTGGATATCAGAGAATTCAATTCATGATCAGTTGGCAAACCCCAACTTGGATGTTCCAGCGTATGATTTTTGATAGTTTTGATAGTACGAGTAAAACATGCCAGTAAACTGAGATACATAGAATCCTAAAAAAATTAAATATCTCCTATACTTGAGGACACAATACAACTGAATAAGAAATGAATCGAAAATTTTCAATATGAAAAGTATTATCACTGATTAATCGATCAGTTTGATTATCTTCAATATTTGAGTTTCGTTTGAGTTTTCTGTATCTACCATAGATGACATTTTTGTGGGAGAAGTCAACACCACCATTACAAACCCTGTATCCATGACCAGGCTCTGTACTACTGATGAAACAAAGATTCATAGAAACTCTGACTTTTGTTTTGTCAAAATCACTCGATGCGAAATGATATTGATAGATGGAACAAGAATAAAGATTCAACGAAAGTCATTTTTTGTGGAGGAAAAAATCGGTTTTTTATCGACCTTTTTTTGGGTAATGGTTACCTGTGCGTGAGAATGAACATCGAGATTATATAAAAAATAGACAATTGACAGGATCAAAATTATCAGAACACATTTTAAAATCAGACGGTGAACATCGGGTGGAATGGAATAGGACAAGAAAGATTACCATACAACTATATTGATTTACAGAATTGACATATCTCGAGTATGAGATGATTATCGTCCAATATCATTGCACTGATTGCAGTTAACAAAGTATTCAGGTAACACTTTACTGTGAGTTTTTTACTGAATAGCTTACAAAATCCCAACACGTGTTTCTGTATACAATAGCTTCTCCAGACGTGTTCATACTGACAAAATTCTACATGATAACTGCTTTATATAACAATGACTAATGATCATATGACTATATGACTACATCAGAGTATAGGTATGTACGAAAAGAAAATGTGTGAATTGAAAAGAAATAACCCACTTAATGACCGATTTACCAGAGTTCAGGTATGAGTTAATTAACAATTTAAACATTATAAAAAAAATCACCAACCAATTTAATGGACATGTCATAAATTGATTACCAATTTACAAACAGATTCAACAGAGCAAAATAATTCAATTCTATTTGTTCATTCAGTAAATTTTCCGAATGCTCAAATCCCGCGAATTCCAAGCATTGCAAAAGATTGAGTTTCTCTTCCAAATGTAATACGCGATGGTCGTGTTTGAACCCATGCTCCTCTGCTAAAAGATGCTTTGCGAATGTGGAATGGACCTTCACATTCAAAAAAATACTTCTATGTTCTTTCATTTTTTAGATAAGAATCTTCCCGGTTAGGCAATAGAAAGTTCAGGACAAAAACCACAAGTTAACTCATTACTCCTGATCTAATCTCACAATAAGTTGTTGCCTGAATAAGTTATGGATTTTCATCAAATATCGGTAAATTCCATCACCTCACCAACGAAAGTACCTGTTACATATCTAACCGAATATACCAGATACACTCATCTACAACTGTAGAGAAAAAAAAGATATGTTTCTCATTAGTCAGCTATGCTCGGATATAATCCAACGCCCTTCGTGGTATTGGCCAGGTGAGTAGTTGTTTTCTGATATGCGTCAGTCCATTCAACCTACTGTGTAGGTTTATTCGAGACTGACTTCAACGTTTAAAGTTCATTTCTTTAGAAAGAGATATGTGTTGTATGTCAGAAGTTGATAGCTATTCGTTGAACTCAATCATGGTGAGGCGTTAAGTTTCGTGAAAAAAATTCTTAGCTGGCTCAAAAGTGAAGGGTACTAATAAGAAATAGGACAAATATTCTATAACGTGTCCATTGCCGAAGAAATTAGTATTTTTATCGGTAAAGTAACTATAATGAAATAAAGTTTGATCCAATTAGTCAGATAATCGGAGTTCTCCGTCTGTTTCTCCATCTGTTTTTCCGTTAACCAGCTGTCGCACTCCTACGAACGACAATCCTCAGAAGTCGAAATTTGTGCGAGCTAAGGATTAACGAGGTCTTACCTTTTAACGTGTGATTCCTAACACGGGTTGGACGATAGCAAATGAAGATCGATCGTTCAGACTAGGGCTTGAACCACCGACCAACACGGCAGTCAATTCGAGTGAGTGAACAATGCACCCATGCCGAACCGCTTGGCTACCGACCGACTAAAGTTTGAAGTGACAATGTTATTTCATCAATTCCATTCAAAAACTCTTTGAAAATCCTGTACGTTGTTCAATTTGTTTTACCAAATGAACTTTTCTTATGCACTGATATTCAGATATCCAACTAGTGGAATGTAGATATCTATTCATTTAAAAAATGTCGGTATTCAATACTGAAAAGTCAATAAAACCATTGTGCGTGTAAGTAAATAATGAATCCTTGAGACTTTCACGAAAGTAACAATTTTTTGAAGTTCATTCCAAAGCAAAACGACTATATACATACCGTTTCGGAAGTAACTGTACTTGGTTTCCGAATAACCACAATTTACTACCGTTAAACCATTTCTCCATCCGAACATCTCATTGGAATTATGAAAACTGTCGCTCGGCGGTGAATTTTTCACTTGTTTGCATTGGTTAGGTTTCCATGGAGACGACCATATTGATGGAAAATGTATTATTATTGTCGTGTGAGAAAAATGTCAGCAAGAAGCGGTATTTTTATTCAATGCTGACAATTATTGTAACTGTGACTTTCAAAGGTACAAACATGAACGTTTGGGTGGCTGTCCTTGAGCTTTCACGAAATATTCCCGACATTTTATTGATCTAGTTCATTATTCTTGTATTTCTTAATAGTGGTCACGCTAAACATAAAACCCTGTGGCCCTATGGTATAATACATGCCAGCGAACATTTCTCATTACCTAATATGATACAATTTTGCCAAGTACCCAAGTAGGTACTCAATTCTGGTTGGGTTGAGGCGTGCAAAAAGAGTTAACTCTGAATTCTCCTGAACTGTGTAGTCCATCCTAGTGAATCTTCAATCCATCGAGGCGAAATCATGAGAAAGGTTGCTTGAAAACAAAAGAAATACCGCAAAACAACTTCTTAACTAACGATTCAATCTCATAACTTCGTATATCTTCAATTGGTGTCTATTAGAGACAAATAAAGAAAATTAAAGAATTAGAATACCAAGATAACCTCGCGCCAGAAGGATCAAGTAACATTTCCACGGAGGCAGCTTTAGTTAACTGTATGTCATTCGGTTCCAGACTATAACAAGGGATGGTTTACTGAATGAGTTTGATTTGAATCAAACAGAAGAAATATTAGTTCAATGCATTCAAAAATGTAAACTCATCTTATTATCCTATTGAAGGTTGTGCTTGTCGGACTCTGTCGCCAAAACTTCGTCATATTCAAAAAGCGCGGCGGCATCGCCAACTAATAATCACTTCCCATTTGTTCTGCCACAATTCCATAACTATCTATATTTCATTCATTTTTCCTCCTCTATTCGAACGATGTTTACCTCACCCGGAGCTGAGAACTTCAAGTTTTTCTCGAACTCTGATGGTCGAGAAGGACTACAATAAAGTTGTTCGCTAGTATCAGTCTGGGGGCGGGTAAAAATGGTTCCAATAAATTTGGCACGCGCAATCAAACCACAATCAATTCAATATCCCTAGAGCCGTGGTTCCCAATTTTATTTGACCATGGAACCCTAATTGAGCATACATTTTTCGACGGAACCCTAGCTGGTTGCGACTTGAAGAAACTAGGCTTCATGTGCAACAGTTGGATGCGAAAATCCGAAGCTGCATCCAGTCTCTAGTATCGGAAGCAGAACAAAGGTAGCTTTTATAACAGTTTCAGGGTATTCAGATCTCCGGCAGAGGGCGCGGAACCCCTGTGACCCTTCTAGGGAACCCCAGGGTCCCGTGGACCACCATTTAGGAATCTAAACCCTAGAGCATAATGCCACACCGGTGTCTCGGTATTAGGGGTGATGAAAATAGTAATATAGCACTTATAGAGCCCTTCATTTTGGTGAATATGAGCGGAGACCGCTTATGTTGAACATGTTGACAGAAAGTGCATGAGAAAATTTTGCTCCATCAAGTCTACGGTAGACCAAAGTGTTGAAAACATCATCCAAGCAGGTCATGATGATTCCTTCAGTTTACAACTCCAGTTCACTTGACCTGAAAAAAGTGAAAGTTATTTCCCCAGATGAACCATGGGTTGAACAGAGTTCATGTTGATGACATAGTCTTGGTCACCTTGTTCGTTGTCGAAAACTAAATCAAATTCATCAACTGCTTGGGTAGCTGTCTTGGAGTGAAATGCAGAGAAGATTCGAACCCCCAATAATTCAACAGACTCCACTCAAAACTCAAATATACTGGCCTCTCAGTTGTCAAAGAATGTATAACCGTGTTACGAATGATTTAGGAGCTCTGGGGTACCAGCTAAGGAGACCAGAGTGATCTGAATAACTATAAACCAATAAGCATTATTTCTAGTATTACAAAAGTGTTTGGGTTGAATATGAAAAACCAGATGTGTGGTTTCTTCGACAAATATAATCTGCTTTCGTCATTGCAGCAAGGTTTCATTAAAAAGAAAAGCACAGAGTCTGGTCTCTTTGAATTCCAGAGCCATGTAATGAAACATCTGGACAACAACAAATTTGTGATGGGCCTATTTCTGGACTTCTCACGCGCTTTCGACTGCGTCGATCATGAACTACTGATTTCTAAGTTATCGAGTTATGGTGTCAGGGGATTACCCCTGCACCTTCTGAAGTCTTTTCTGAGCAATCGAAAGCAAGTTGTGAAATTTAATGAGTTCTACTCAGATACCTTACACATATCTCAAGGAGTTTCGCAAGGCTTGATCCTGGGACCATTTCTCTATGTAGTTTATGCAAATGACCTCATAAGATATCTCAACGTGACTAACAACTTTAATATACATATGGTGTGTTTTGCTGATGATATTAGTAGCCCAGAACGATCTGAATGCATTGAATATTGTAGCCGAAAATACTCTGGAACATGTGTTGTAGTGGCCGAAAAGCAATAATCTGAATTAAAATTCATCAAAGACTAATGCTATGTTAATTACTCTGCGTGGGCACAATCTAAACTGCAGACTTTTTGATGGTTCCCCCAGTGAAATAGAAATGTCAACATCGGTTGAATTGCTGGGTATGACTTTTGACGCAAACTTAATCTGGACCCCGCATAGTGCCAATCTATGCACAAAACTGAAAAAATAGTGCTTCTATTTTTTCAGTTTTTTTTCAGGCAAAACTTTCTAGTGAAGAGATGCTGCTGATCCTGTATCATGCTAATTTCCACTCCCACCTGAAATATGGCATTTTAAACTGGGGAAATTGCTGCTCTGTAAATAGAGTGTTCACTCTACAGAAATATGTCATACGAATATTGGCAAAACTAGTCTTTAAAAATTCGTGCAGACATTTTTTTTGAAAATCAAACATTTTAATAGTGGCAGGGACCCATATCCTAGAAGCCTGTGTGCACGTTTTCAAACAAAGATCTAGCAATATGGCTGAAAGTTTACATAACTATAACAATAAAGGAAAACAGTTGCTACTACCAAAACGCCATCACAAAAGTTATAAAGTGAATGGGTGCAAATTTTTTGATATTCAACCCGAGACTGTAAAAAACTGTAAAAATACATATGTGTTTAAAAAATGACAAAACAATTCATATTACAAAAAAATTGTTACACTTTTGAAAAATTTCTCAAATCTGTGTGACTGTTTATAAATCATTCCTTTATTACTTATTGTATATATAGAGCTATATATAATATATTATGTAATGCGCCCATTGACGTCTTTTACAATAATTTTGTCATAGTGTACATTTAACCCATTTGGACCATTGTGTACAACCTTATTGATTAAAATGAACTGATATTATTATTATTATTATTCTATATATTTTATCATCATTTTTCCTCATCTTTTTAGTATAATTTCCGTATGCCACTGCAAGAGACAAATTAAGGCAAAAACGTCAGACATTTCTGAGATTTTAGTGCTTACTATTTTGGAATTATAATATAGTACATTGCAATCTAGATAAAATTATCCACAAAAATGTTTGATATTTCGTTAAAATTAAATGAATGAACTGGAATATATAATAGACACTGCATCTGCAACAGTTCATACATAGTGATGTTACTGGCATATCAAAAAATCGTAAGGACTATAAACAATTGAATGTGGTTATAAAATACTCACAATATTTTCCGTATAATAAGAAGGTTACGCCACTGTTTGATGATTTGTAATTTTTTATGTGAGTACTGTATTGAATTATATCTTATCAATGAAGTCAGATTTAATTGTTGTCTTGACTTAAAGTCTTATAGACATGTGTATTAATAGATCTCACACACCATGCAAAACTCTCATTAAAAATTATATCAGTAAGTGAATTCGATCATGAATGGAGAATCTGAGATGGATGTGAGGAAGTGATATACAAAAAGGTAATTATTTAATCGATAACGAAAGGAACGTCTGAACCGAAAAAAATAATTGTGTATTGAAATTTTTCGGTGTATGATTGCTTCCAAAAACAATTGTAATGATAAATAAAGTCACCTGCAAATACATTTATACACAGAAAGGTAATGATAATTATATTGTTCGAAATTATATTGATGATATCAGCACAATGATAAATCATTTAAAAAAAATTGAGGTTCAGACTATCAGAATTTCATTTTTTTTCAAGAATGAATTGACATATGTTTCAGTTCAATTGGGATAGCATTGTGAAGGATGGCTATTTATACGAAAATGATGATTTGAACAACGTGGTTTCATGTTTCGAGATTGAAATATTAGTTTTATAAGGCACATATTGTGCTGGTCATGTCTGAATTTCACCTCTTTATACAAATATATAGGTTTCTTCATTATGAGGATTTTATTATTAAGGCTGCTGCAATGTAAAATCCTCCGTTTATCCAACCAAGTTTAGAAAGATCAGTTGACACATGTTCCCATCTATCTAACCCACATATTAAACGCACACACGAGTTTTGAATTAATTGAACACGTCAACTGTCAGAACTAAGGATAGCGGGACTGTATATACAGTCAGCTAAATTTAATTTTGAAAAGACTAGAGACTCGCATAAGGTGATTTTACTCTTTTTGTTTAGTATATTTCTATCGGTATAGATCAACTTCAAACTGCAAAAGGCATCTCTCATAAGTTTGGAGATATCTTTATTAAATCTCATATATGTGTCAAAAATTAACCCAAGACTTTTCTCCGACTCGCTGAACAGTAGTGGGTTTACATCAATTTGCAGCGAGATTTATCCGAAATCCGAGTTCGTATCGATTTGTTCCAAATATATGGCCTTAGACTTTAGAGGGTTAGTGCCAAGACAATATTTTTCTGAAATTTCGTGTAATCTCTGGAAGTCCTCATTTATCTTTCCACAAGCAAAATGCATATCAGTCTCAGAGAATTCCTGGTATAATTAGGTGTCATCAGCGTAAAAATGACTTTCACAATATGATATATACTTATGAAACTGTGACGTATAGACCGTGAAAAGTAGCGGTCCCAGTATAGCACCCTGTGGAAACCCTGTATTGACTGGAGTTTGTAGTGAAGTCTCATTATCTATAATTTCAATTCGAAACCTGTATGACAGGTAATTTGCAATGAGGTTTACAGAGTTATTAGCGAGTCCAATATAATGAAGTAAATAAATTAATAATTGATGGTTCACCCTATCAAATGCTTTACAGTAATCCAATAAGAATTAGAAATATCATCTGTCACTCTTAGCATCGCGGTTGTACAACTATGTCCTTGCCGAAAACCTGATTCAGGTCCCGAGAGAATGTTAAAATCAGTGAGATACACACGTAATTGTTCATTAAGGAGTCTTTCCAAGCACTTTGATCAAGCAGACAAAATATTAATGACTATCAAATCATTAAAACTTTCAGGATTGGCGATTTTAGGCAAACGTCTGTCTACAGCACGTTTCCATACTGTTGAATAAACGCTATTGTCGATAATGTAATTGAAAATGTGGCATAAATACGGCAGAATATCAGGACAACAGTAAAACAACATTCTGATGCTAATTTGGTCAACGCCCACAGCATTGGACTCAATTGACAGCAAATGTCTATAAATATGTGATTCATCAATGTTCGAGAAGTTGAACTGGTTAACACTTGGTAAAGTACTGGTTTTAAAAAATTGCATAATTTATTCATCAAGAAGGTTTTCAGTTTCTTGTTTCACAAAGAAAGTATTTATTTCATCTGAGTTGCGTAAGTTATTTGGTATAACATTTGATTTTTTGCCACAGACACCTATGTTATTTAATTCTTTCCACATGTTATTATTGTTTCTTATCTTATACTCTAGATAACTTTTTTTTCGGCAATCACAACGCGGTTAACCTCATTGCTCAACAATTTATGATAATTCCAATCACGCAAGCTTTTGGAACTTTTGAAGTTTACTTGTGTCCTTTCACGCAACTTCTTCATTTCCTTCAAGTTATAAGTGAGCCTGGGCGCTTTCCTTTTTGAAATCCTCATAGAGTTTATTGGTGCATGGATATTCAATAATAAATTGATGGATGTAGCCGTTACTACGTGGTAGGAGATCATAATGAAGAAAAGAGAATTGAAACTTTCTATGTTTTTACCACTTTTATTTGTTACTAACGTCACTGCAGTTTCGTCCTATAAGGACATTTTCAAATTTATACAGTTGAATGTATAAGTTTGAAAATGTCCTTATAGGACGAAACTGCAGTAATGTTAGTTACAAAGAAAAGTGGTAAAAAACATAGAAAGTTTCAATTCTCTTTTCTTCGATATTGAATGAATTTATAATACAATTATTCAAAATTTTCAATTTTGAATCCACGCCAATGAAATTGCGTTTTTTGAATCTTTTTCATGACATACAAACCAAGAATCTTGTTTGTTTGAAGGTGATTGACAATGTTTCGTGATGAATTTCACTGGTTCGGACTTCCATTGTCTACTATATAAAATGATTTGAAATCCCTGAAACAAGTAAAAAAGAATAATTAAAAAGAATAGTTGAAAATAACAATTATATTAAGCAACAATAAACCTGAAATGAAATGATAGTGAAATAACCTACAATTTGTTTCTTGTACTAGTTTGTATAGGTCCCTTACTGGATATACGTTGTCTGTTCAAAAAATAAATTGAATTTTCATTTTTCTCAAAACATATTTATTAATTCATCAATTTCTATTTCATCCTCTCTAAATCAGTCCTTCTTAGATGAAGAACATTTGTGTCAGCGTTTTTTTCCAATCCTGGAAGCAATTCTGTTAGGCAGTTTATGATATGTCTTCGAACTCTCTCAGCGATTCGGATTTTATAGATAGATAGATAGATAGATATATTTTATCTAAACTGCATTACAAACAGGCTTACACTCGATTATATGTATACAGTCAATGTCACGGTACATAAAATATATGATTTTACAATACACAGATTAAATAAACACCAAAAATTACGTACAAGAGAAACATTAATAAAAACAGGTAGGTATATATGGCGCTTTTTTTTTCAACGACTGTCTAATTTCTAATTCATCACAGCAAAAAAAATCAAGACTGATGACTTACAACTAGATCATTCACTTGCCTAAGGCAGCGATTGAGTGGAGACTCTGATTGGGTGTCTGCATTGAAAACCCTATTGCGATTTCTTAGACAAGCACTAGGAATATAAAGATTGACTACACTGAGGAGTTCAGGTACATTTATCATCTGATTAAATATGTTGAAAATAAATAGTACATCATTCAAGCTTCGACGATCCGTCAGTATTGTCATGTCAAAATGTTTTAGTTGAGTCCTATAGGAGACCATCTGTTTAAAAAAAATCTGTATGTATGTATGTATGTATGCATGCATGTATGTATGTATGTACATATGTATGTAGATTGTTTGTATGCATGTTTGTTTGTAACTCTCAAGCTCGGGATCTGTATTGAAAGAATTATCGGCATTAGTTCTTGATCTATTCGCGGGCAGATGGCGCTGTATGTAACCTACTTGATAGGTTGTTCAAAAGAAAATCAAAATAATAAATATAGTTCGAAAAACTAAAAAACACGCTTTTATAGCATATGAAACTCAAAAGTAAAGAATAAATATAGTTAAAAAAAAAATAAAAAACACGCTTTTGAAGAACATCGAACTAAAAAGTTAAAAATATTTTTTTTTATATAAGCCTAAAACGATATCGATCAAAAATTCTAGTATAATTGTGACAAAAGCGTGGGCGCTTTGTGCGATATTTTCTGTATATCTAGCGCACAGGCTTTTTTCACAATAATACTAGTATTTTTCGATCATTATTGTTTTGAGCTTATTTAAAAAAATATTTTCAACTTTTTAGTTCGATGTTCTTCAAAAGCGTGTTTTTTAGTTTTTTTAAACTACATTCATTTTGAAGTAAGTGTACCTACAAAATTTCTTTAGTATTTTTTCTATCATCTCTGAATGAAATGCTGTTTGCGGATTTCAAATTGTTGAAGCGTTTTCGAGCTTTGATCGGACAAAGGCATCGAATAGAAGAATTCCTAGTTCCCTGGCGTTTTTGCAGTTTGGTGCCATTTATTGAATATTCCGTTTGAGTAGTAACATTTTTCCGTGAAAAAGACATAATTTTGCATTTACCCTCATTCAGCATCAAGTTGTTCGTCTCTCAAAAGGTAGTGATATAATCTAAGTATTTCTGAAGGTTTTCACTGTCTCTTTCATCGTTGATGGTTTGGTATAGTTTGAGATCATCTGCATAGAGTAGGAATTTGGAATGTCATATATAATCACCTATATTGTTATTGAACATTATAAATAAAAGTGGGCCCAGAATTGAGCCCTGAGGAACGCCAAAGGTTGGTCTGAATAGTGTCGACTTTTTTCTATTGAAAGCAACAAATTGATCTCTGTCTGCTAGATATGAGTTTACTAATGTTATCATTGATTGATTCATTGAGAATGTCCTTAATTTGTCGCAAGAGTTTATTACACATAAACGGAGTTCTCCAGATGAAAGAGTTCTTAAAAAGTGGAGTTCGAGTTGTACTAAGTTGAACCTCAAAACGATGAGCAGCCACAGTCCGTCGCGTATTTCTGATAGGTATCGCTCTTGGTGGAATCCAATGTGCCAATTCACTTGAACACTTACCGTGAAAGTATCTGTAGAGGATAGACAAATTCCCAACCTCTCTTCGACGTTCCAGGCTATCAAGGTTGCAAGTGATATTCGCGTCTCTAATCAGGCGGATGACTCTTTTCTCGATGCAATTCAGCTACTTCAGGGTAAGTTTGGGGCAAAGCTTCATTCATAAAGCATCAAGGTTGCTGAGGTGTGTACCTAAAGTTTTCTGGTCCGAAACAGTGTTCCAAGCTTTCGAGAAGCAACCTTTGGAATTCCAGCGACATGATTCTGCCAAGACATATTGGTGTCAATTTCACCTCCCAACAAACTTATCGAAGCAGAAAGTGGAGTTGTCTGACCTGACATTATAATATGCAGTTCGGAGTTATTTATCTTCTTGGAGAAAACCGCTGCTTGTTTTTTTGTGGCATTGAATTGAACCTGGTTACTGTCACCCCAATTCGAAATCACTTCTAAATCCTCATTAAGATATGCAACCTCCAGCTGCCGGTGAAGATGTGCCTCCGTAGCCGATGTCATGGAATTCAAATGGACTGACGAGACAACTGTGCTGTCATCAACAAAGCAATATATTGGATTCTTGTTTTTTTTTCAATAAGTCTGTGGAACACCAGTGTTGATGGGGAAAGTATTTGAGAGATATCCATCGTCGGCCACTTGCAGGGAACGTTCTTTCAGGAAGCTGAAGAGTCAAACACAGAAAAGATCCGACAAGCCGTAGCATCGAAGTTTTGCCAGCAAACCCTCATGCCACAGACGGTCAAAGGCATTAGCGCAACAGTTCTTGATTCTCCATGTTTCTCGATTGCGTTATTCCAAATATGGGTGACATACGATAGAACATCGCCTGTTGATCTTTGTTTCCGAAATCCATTTTGATGATCGCCTTCCAAATATTTGAGGATATGGTGGTTTACGACATTCTTCATAATTTTTAATATATTGATTTAAATACGATGACGGGCACTTCATCAGGGCCAGACGCCTTGTTGATATTGATCTGTTTCAAAATTCGCCTCACTAGACGCTGTCGAAAAGTAATTTCCGGCATCGTGGATTCTAGTGTCGGAATAGTGGGTGATGCCTTTCCTAGAAAATCGACTCTGGAGTGGGACTCAAATTGTTCAGCTAGTTGATTTGCTTTTCCTATGACCGTTGTTGCAATTGAACCATCCGCTTGTGTCAGTGGTGGAGTTGGGGATTTCGTAAAGTTTTGATTAACAGCTTCAGCTACCGTGCAGAAGGATTTAGACACGTTTGGATTGACAAGTAGTTTATTCCTAATTCTCAGATTGTGAAGTTCTTTGCTTTCATTTATCCTAAGTTTGCAGTTGTTGCCAGCATTAATAAACCTAGTTCGGCTTTCGGCACTGGAATTTTTGCGCCACTGCTGGCAGGCGAGATTTTTGGTGCTTGCTTGCAATTTTTGTTGAACCAAGGTTTGCCGTTAGAAAGTCGTTTAATTGAAAAAGGAATATATCTGTCCATGGATGACAGAATAACTTTCGTGACTTTAGAAGCACAAGTTGATGGATCTTAGAGCTGAAACGAACATCTAGCCATCTAGATCCTCCCATTCAGCTGATCTGTAATGCCAAATTTTGCACGGCTCAGATTGTTTCCCAAACAACTAAACATGCTAATCAAATGTACGTATAGACTGCGAAATTTTGAATATTCACATTATTTTTCCAACAGTCCAAGTATGTCAAAAAAAATCAAACAAATTTCTAACTGTTGCTAAAGAGTTGAATCCATTTCAGCTAAAGTCAACATTATAATGGGGTGGAAATATTTTAAATTGACACCCTGTATACTTCCTTTCGTAAAACAAGAAAATACATTAGAAAATATTTGGTACGATCATTTTTGGGAAATGAACAAAAAAACAAGTACTATTGTTCTTAGAAGGCTTTGAGGAATTCCTTCTGAAATAGTCTCAAATAGAAAGGGGCTTAAATTCGTATGATTGCTGGAATCACCTTCACGTT